TTAAGACTGTAGGTTATTCAACCCCATGTACGTACCCAAGATATTTTTATATCCCCCGTGTAACCAGCTGTAATTCAGTGCTCAGCCCCGATGGTTGAGGATGGTGCTGGGAAGGCAGGAAAGGGGCAGGTGGACCCGAGGCTGGGAGGGGAGGGTGTGCAGGACAGATGGAACCAAGCAGCTTTTTATGGGAATTGCTGAGAAGAGGTGAAGGTGTAAGCTGTCCTCAGCTGTGCACAAGTTACTTAACCACTTTGTGAATCCTCTTCAAAATGTATAATGATCATAATAATTCTTAATTCATAGAATTGTAATGAGAGTTATATGTGTATAGCCCTTGGGAAATTCCCAGTGAACATTAAGCACTAAATAAATGTTAAAACACACACACACATACACACACTTTAAAAAAAAAAAACAAACAACTCGAGTGTTTTGGAGTACCTATGGGAGCAGGGAGCAGGTTCATGCTTGTCCAGGCCCATGAATTGGCTTCTGCTGTTGTCTGTAAGCAACTTGAGTTCCTTTATTTTTTTTTAATTATTTATTTGGGAGAGAGAGAGAGAGAGAGAGAGAGAGAGAGAGAGAGAGAGAAGAGGAAGAAGTAGACTCCCCACTGAGCAGGGAGCCTGATGTGGGGCTTGATCCCAGGACCCTGAGATCATGAGGCAGACGCTTAACTGACTGAGCCACCCAGGAGCCTCAAGTTCACTTTTTATTTACTTTTCAAAATCCTTACATTACCAAGGAATGATAGTTTTTCACGTCCTTGTTTGTTTCCTTTCCCTTTCCCTTCCTCTTTCTCCTGCGCCCTCTTCTTCTTCCTCGCCTGGTTCTGTTGACTGTGCATTTTCCTACTGATTTAGATGATCACCAGAGATGGAAAAGATGGGAGAGAATAAAACATGTAGTTTTGCTTTATGTTCACAGAAGTATCCAAGGAGGTTGTTGAAAACGTTTAGAGTTAAGCTTTTAGGTCTCTGGTTGATTCAAAATTGGGCCATGTTACGTACCTGCTTTCTGAAAAACTGAAGATATAGATATGCACTCATGTCTGGGTGCAGGAATTCCTTGTGTCTGTCAAATCCTGCAGAATACAGACTAAATGATCTGTTGATAACAGAAAACTTAGTTTACCATGACAAAGTCTTCACATCTGAGGTGTGGGGCAGGCAAAGCATGGGTTTTTATGTCATTTGGGGCATCTGATTTAAGGAGGCCTTTGTAATAAGATTGTGGCCTGAATCAGGTAGATTCACAACAAAACAGCTTAGAAGAGACACCGCAGCAAAGCTGTGATTCAAAGTGAATCCAGAAGAGAAAACAGTCATTTCAGGCTGGCTGTTGTTCTGAGATGAGTATTTACCCTGAGAGTACCTTGAGTAGTTCCCGTTCAGATAAATGTATTGGTAAGAAGTTCCTGGAACAAATAATGAAAATATTTTCAATTTTTCTTCCTAGGCAGAAATTTCCTGGAATAGCAAACTCATGTTAGTGGTCACAACCCAATAGTGGAGGCACGTCTGAGAAGATAGCACACCAGGGCCTGTGCACAGTCAGCTGTGTATGTGGATGTTTCTGGTCCTTGAAGGTTCTCTCTTTAATTTTTGAAATTCAAGTACACTAGTCCTGGAAATAAATATTTGCAAAGAATTCCAGTGGTTAAAAAAGTTTGATCCTTTAAAAGCATTATTAGGGTGTCAAATCCCCAAAGTGCCATCCTTCAAAAATATCTAGCCCTTACATCCAAGTCTGGAGTTCATCTCAAACCAAATAAGGTAATCAGTCACAGAAGAAAAATGACTATATTTATATATGATAATACACATTTGAGCAGAAAATTGTAGAGCAACAGCTGTTTCTTAAGATCAAGGAACTTCATGTTCTCTTTATGTTTTTAAATATTTAATAGCTGGTAAAGGTCGGTACACAGTGAACTTTTATTTGTCAGAGGTCAGTCCAAAACTGTCAAGTGTACACAAAGCAGCTAGTGACAGAACACAATAATTATGTTGTTTTTCCCTAAAAAAAATGAGTTATTTACATTTTATTTATATTTTGGCTGTTATTACAACCCATATTAAGATTTTCAATCCCAATTCATCAAATAAATGATTAAAGTGTCATATTTTTATGATATGCCTTTACAAGAAAAATACATCATAATAGTGTAGCTTAAATGTGAAAATGATGCTTCTTTGAACAACTTCATCTGGAGTGGTGATTAAACTGACTGCCTCTTGCCTGAGGACAAGTGACTGGCAGCAGGTTAGGATGGCTGCCGGCGAGCTGGGGGTTGGCTAAAGACAGTAATGATGGTCTGCTGGAAGGACAGAAACTGCCCTCTAGGTCAGGGCTGAGTTGAATCCTGACCCTGGTACTTATCTCTGAGACATCAAGCAATTTCTTTTTTTTTTTCTTTTAAAAGACTTTATTTCATAGAAAAGAGAGAGAGCAGTGTAGGAGGGAGAAGCAGGCTTCCCGTGAGTGGGGAGCCCGATGCAGGGCTTGATCCCAAGACCATGAGATCATGACCCAAGCTGAAGGCAAATGCTTAACTGAGCGAGCCACCCAGGCTCCCCAAGTCAAGCAAATTCCATATTCTGTCTAAACCTCAGGTTTCTATGTGTATAATGTTGATCATAATACCCACTTCAGTGTTGCTGTGAAGCCTAGGAGAGCCAGCTCAGTGCTCAAGGGCACTGGGAGGCCCTCAGTAATGGTAGGTCGGCATTATTATCGTGTCAAGATTTAGGAATATTGGACATGTCTGGGCTGTTGCATACATCTTGATCTGAACCAATTCTTGTTTTATTTCCTGCAGGTGAGGTGGCATCTGACAGGTGACTAGACTGATCCTCACGGATTACTTCTTCAAAATAGTGGAAAGAGATCGAATCCTTTCCACTAGTGAATCCTTTCACTAGTTTTCTGGTCTTGGGCAAGTCATTCCCTTCCCTGAGTGCCAAGTTTCCCCATCAGTTTAATTGGGCACAGTGATATCTACTCCACAAATCTGGTTGAGGATTTCATGAGACACAGTATACAAGGCTTCACTGATTGTGTCTGACAGTGTAGACAGCTATTAGCCAATTAAATCTGCTTACTTTATAATTATCTGCTGAATAATGAGAGGAAATAGCAGGGTACTATTCCCAGACCACACTAAAATGGACATAATGTGTGGGAAGAGATGTAGAAAACATTAGTTTTGTGAATAATAAGAAATCACTTATGTATCATAACAAATCTCATTTTTAAAACTTTTTCTAGTGAGGCATCCCTTATTTTTCATCAGGATATTGGTTCAAGCAGAAGCATTCTAGTTCTGTGTCTGAAGGCCCCAGCACCTTTCATGGAACGATAAAAACAGTCTCTATGTAGTAGCCTGACAACAAGCACAGCAATACTCACTATCGATTTTCATGTTCTGCATACAGCAAAGGTACAGACAGCACTGAACATTTTTCCTGCTTTAATGTAAAAGCTATTATTGTTTGAATTGCTAGAATGATTATCTCTAGTGGAAATCTGATCTCATCATTCTCTGGTTTTAAACCTTCCTTTGGCATTCCACAGTCTGCTCTTGGAAATTGGCACCCTCATCGTGGCTGGTGTGGGTGGCCCCCTCTGACACCTCCCTGGCTCCTCACCTCTTATCTTCTCACTACCTACTTTTTTTTTTTTTTTTTTGATATTTTCATTACCTTAGGGTGCTTGGCTGACGATTTGTCTCACCGGCATGCTTTTGCACATGCGGTTCACACTGCCTGCAATGCCCCATGCCCCTGTAACCAGCACTTTTCCTGGAACTGAGTTTGTTGTGTGCCCCTGCCCATTGTTTCCATAGGAACCCGAATGCACCGTCATCACAGTACCTATGACTCATTTCACTGTCCCTCACTAGGTTGAAAGGACATGGAAGCCAGGAAGAGGGCGTGGCATAAACACCCTCGAATTAAAGGTCTATTGTACGAATGTATGAAGTCTACTGATCACTCTCTTATTTCCAATAGGACTGCTACTCCTAATGTAAAATCCCAATCAGAGCAATATGCACATCCTCTGTGAAGCATAAGCTAAGAACATGGCTGAGCAGGTTTGCATCTTGTGATATGTTTTCCCAGGATGTATCATACATACATTTGGCATGAATAAATTTGGTGACTCCGAGCAAGCTATATTGTGCATTAATTGCTGTGTGCCAATCCCTGTCCCATGTGGGTTTACCCAAGCATAGTCCTGATGTTCCTCTGGGGATCCAGACTTCTCTTCAGTCAATTTTTCTTCATTACACGAATTACATGGGGCTTACCACATTGAGTATAAAGTGTTAACTAGTCTTAGAGATGTGTATTTCTGAGCAGAAACTGGACAATTAAATTAAGCTGTTTGACATTAGATAGGAGAAACACACAAGCCAAGGAGGTGCTGTCAAGAATTAATTATTCTTTTTCTTTCTTTAATTCGAGTTCAGCTGGCTTGTATGAATATAGAGATACACGCGGTACCCAAAGCAGTTGTGGGATTAGCAGGGTGGGGCCTATATCTTATCATTCACTAGATACAGGTGAATCACCTCTTGGTGCTGGCAAAGTTTTCCCTTACATCAAAGGTATTCTCTGTTCTGGATGTGTAAGCTGAACCAAAGGCTGTGACAACTCCTTAACTGGCAAAAAATCCTGTCCACTTGGGATGAAACAATCAGCCAGGTTGGGAGAACTGAAATGCATCGGTGCTACTTGACTCTGGTGCAGTCTGCCTCAGTATGACTCCTCTGGGACAGTGCTTTTCATGGAATGGTGATAATGGTCTCGATATAGTACCCTAAGAAACAACACAGCAAAACTCATTATCAATTTTTATTTCCTACCATACACCAAATGTACAGCACTGAACACAATTTTGTTGCTTTGATGTAAGAAATATTAATTGTTTGAAGAAACAGTATACAAACAAGCTACTTCAAATTAAAAAAAATGCATACATCATTGCCTTTTTGTTGTTTACAAAAGACCCAATTTACAGTATCTATCATTAACAGAGTTGAAAGGAAAAAAATCAGTGCACATTACAAAACACATCAAGTACAAAGGAGGCAAATAAATACAAACATACTTCACAAAACAGTCTGCTCAAACTATGCAAACACAAATAAATTAACCCGAAGTCATAGTAAATTATAGTAATAAATACATAGGTTGGTAAGAGATTTCTTTTAAATTAAATAAAATATATAACAAACTTGTTAAAATATTTAGCAAATTAAACTTTTGTCTTTGTAATAAGTGAACTTATTTGTATGCATCTATTAAGTACTGTATAGCAAAATGTTTGCAAGTACATAACTTTAATAGAAAATTTCGTTTGGTGTCCCATTTATAATAGACAGCACATATGGTAGCTCTTTTTTTAAAATTGATTTTTAAATAAACACCGTTCCTACCTAAGAACAGACATTTCATTTTCACTAAACTAAGATTCAAGGGTTCAGATAAACCCCAAACCGAAGATAATCCCCACTTAGTACATAACAATGACCACAGTGTCATGGAAGTGGAATTACTGTTGATATTACTTTCAATTTGTGCAGGTAACAGTAATAACAGTGGAATATATCAAGCCTGTGAGTGCCATCACATTCAATCTACATATCCATGAGGCTAATAAAAAATAAACACTTTTGTTATAGCACAGAAAATTAAGCCCACACTAAGTTCAAGTGTCCATTTACACGGAGGCACATTGCACACGAGGTGTGTGTGCACACCAAAAAGGCAGTTTAGCTGGTTGTCTATACCTTTTTCTTAAAAAAAATAAATATAAAAAAACTTTTGAAACAATGCTTAACTACTTTACAATCCCTGAAATAGACATTGCCTTTACTATAGCAACTACTAAACTCTGATCCATCCAGAAAATCAAGATTTCAGGCTCAATTTCATGCGTGTGTGAGTCTACGTGAGTGTGTCTATCTGTGGGTATGTGTCTGTGGGTGTGAGTGTGTATACTTTGTAGCACTTGTAGTTCTATGGAAAGATTTTTTTTTAAATCAAATTGAAAGTTTTCCTGTTGCCTAAAGAGGGTAAGACAATGTCACCAGCGTTTAAAGTAATTAGATCGGGGTAATGTTTTTTTTTTTTCGTGTGTTATTGTATTTCCCATTCCTTTCCAGTTCACCCAGTAAGATAAATGCTATTTCAAGGGATATGGTATCTACAAAATTTTCCATTTGGATGTGTTTGTATTTGCTAAGTACAAATCTACATCAATATTGTCACTTGTATATTGTACCAACATATGGCAGGAAAGCCTGGCTGGTCACATCAAGTCTTATTTCTCATCTTGGGATAAGAGTTGCCAACTATCTGATATGACTTGAAAAACAAACAGACAAATCTGCATCACTAAAAAAGCTTATGTTTCTTTAAAACATGTCAAATAAATAATTCATATTAACTAAAACCGTACAGCCAAGTCGAATACTTTGCTGATTGCTGTATTTAATTATTGCTAACAAATTCTGAACAGGCTGTTTCCCAGCACACTGTGCTTCTGTGAGCGCGCACTTCCCGCTAGTGGGCGCCATCTACCTGCTGATTTCTTCCCGCACCTCAGGCCAGCCCATTTATAAATACAAAAGCCAGTGAAAGGGAGGAAAAAAAGTGTGCAATAAAAATCAAACTGGACCCTAGTGCAGTCCTTAGACAAGGATTTACGTCTCACTTTTCTTTTTCTCACTTAAACCCAGCAAGATATGTGATTTGAGAATAGCATTTCTATTTAAATTCTATTGGAAAATAAATTAATAAACACACTTGTAAAAATATGGCAGACTTCAAAATGCAGCTAAAAGATAAAAAACTCTTTGATTAGAAATAAATAAAATATAAAAATGTCACATTTATTTTACATACACTTTACAAAAAAAAAAAACAAACAAACCCAAAAGAGTGCAATGAAGAAATAAAATTAAAACATATGAAAATAAATAAGATCTAGTATTTGACTGCATTGCTTTTAATCCAAAGAGTCTATCATAGTTTTTCTTTCCTTTTTATGTCAGCTGGGGGAAAAAAAATTAGTGCAATGTTGCAATTGTAAATGCCGCGCTGCAACCTCCGGCTGTGTGTAGTTTCTGGTGCCCGGCAGCGCTGTGGTCCTACACGTGGATGCCCTTCACTGCCTGTTTGATGCTTTCCAGCAGAGCTTTGCATTCCGGGGAGTAGTCCCGTTCCAGATTGCTGTACATGTCTGTGAGTGTATTTACATAGGCTTCAAAATTCTGCTCACTGATAGGCCCCTAAAGGAAGACAAAACACATTGAACCAATCACAGTGATCCGGGTGGGGACAAAAGGAGGACCAAGGAACACAAAAGAGTAGCAGTAGCTCCAGAGTCCGAGGGGGAGGGCTGCTGGAGTCTGGGGAGATGGAGAGGGGCTGAGTGTGCCGTGATTCATCCGTCCACTCTTTGCTCCGTTAACGGGATTGCTGTGATTGTCAATATTTTGTGCTCAGTTTGGAGCCGCATCAGGTCGATGTCTGGCTCCGGAGCGGGACCCCTGGAAGCTGCACTACTCTCTCTCCAGAGGCCGCCTCAGCTTCAACGGCCCATGCTCAGCTCAGCACAGACCTTCTATCTGCCAGAGGGAATGTTCAGAAGCCACGGAGGAAGGCTTTCCTTGAACTCTTTTGACAGCCCTGGGCTGGAACTTAAGGACTTTAAGATCTGAGCCAGTTGCTCACTAACCAGGTGGAATTTTTTTTTTCCTTTTTCATCCTCAGGCACCTTTTTGTACATTTTTCCCTTGTGGCATCATTGTAATATATTCTTGTATTTTTCTATCCCTGTTCCGGGTAGTATATCAGATTCACCAAGTCCAGATCTACTTATCTCTTAATCTTCTTTGTGTGTTTTGGTAGCACCTTTGCCTAATGTGAGACAACAGAGAGTGATCCCATGATCTGTGTAAATCACATGTGTGCTTGAAGGGAAATGCATGACACGAAGGGCATGCTACGAACCATTTCCTGGTGTCTGCGTGTTCCCCTTTTTGAATACATGTGACATGTGCTTTACTTCACAAAATACTTGCAAGGAAGGACTTGAAAAGGGTCTAAATACTCTAGCTATAAAAGATGTTACTGTTATTGCTGTTATTTAGAAGGTAGGCTTGCTAAATTGGAAGATAATTTTGCTGTGCTCAGCAAAATACTGATCTGAATTATAAGTATTGACTAACCACAGTTTTCTGTTCCCTTTTAGTTTCTGCCTTTGCTGTATCATGTGTTTCTTGGAGTGTTCATAACTGGATGAGGACCCGGGCCACGGAGTGGATCGAGGCCACATAGCGAAGCTGGGCTCATCTGGCTTTGGAGCCTTGATCACATGAATGAACTCTCTGAGCTTTGATTTCCTCAACTACAGAATGGGAAGGCCAAGGCTCGGTCTTAGGTGTTTGCGTGAATGTTTACTGTAATCAGCCCTAAAAATCACCACCAGGATGCCTCGCATATAGCTCTACAAGGTGAAATTCCCTTGTACCATAACAGTTATTTTTATGGCACTTGTGAAGGAAAAAATTGTAATGAATACAAATCTCAAGTATGAGTTAGACAAGTGTTCATAAATAATATTATAATAATATCCAATAATTTACCTTAATATTGGTCATAAAGTAATTTATTTTCCTTTGTGTTATTATTACATTATTGATTTTGTTTATTGTCAAGAGACACATTTGGGATTGAATGAGATGAGGGCTCCATGCTGCAAAATTGAGTAAATTGAGGGATTTATTGCTTTCAGGTAAATCAATCATATTTTTTCATTAATTAAATGCTTCTTTAAATCATTCTCTATATAAAACTTGCAGCTTTAGAAAATTTGTTCTAAGCATTAAGGAAATTAAAAGCATTCAACAAGGTAGCCTCTCTTCCAAATGTTTGTTATATTTATGAAAATATGATAGGAACTAATTGTCTATGAATTTTAAGTAGCTGTCATAACTCAAATATATGTTTAGATTTTGAAAATAAGGATGCCTTGCTCACTTTTTTATTCCACATAAGAATTTAAGTATGTTCTTCCTAAAGTATATTCTTCCTTAATACCAAGTTAAATTTTTTAAAAAAAATTTTTATGGTTCTTGAGTTGGGTGGATGGTACAAATGTCTGTAAGCCCTCTAAGCTTTCTATTTGGAAACAAACTTTTGGGGAGCTTTGGCCTCTGACATCCATATTACATTATAAAACAAGTTTTAAATAAACTCTCACCTTTGATTGCTGCAGTATCAAAAACCCTTGGCCTTAAGGTAATTTACTGTCTGTATGTGTCACGGTCCCCATGAGGGAGGTTGTTGCTAGTCAGAGTACCTGGTGGCTGGGGATGGGCCGCACGCTGCCACTGTGATGGAGCAGCGGACGTCCAGCCTTGCACTTACCATCTGTGGGAGCTGAATGTCAGCAAGGCTTGAGATGAGAGCTTGGCTCAGTCCGGCCAGCTCCTTCAGCAGGCTCTCATTGTTCTGTTCTATGAGCTTGTTCTCCTCCTCTATTGTCTTTAGGTTGCTCTCCATAGATGTGATCTGAAATTGAAATAGCTTGGGAATGTGAACTGCTGAATCTGAAGGAGTGCAACATGTTTCTCTCTCAAAGAAAGGCATCAGCTGAACCGAACTGCCAAGGAATGTGTACTTTGCACCTTCTCCTCATGAAACTGCAACCCTTCATATTGCTCTAAGTTTGGGAATCACATTCTTTATCCCAGACTTCTCCCATGAGTTGCAAATTCCACATCTCCATGTGGCTACATGGTGGCTATCTCAAGCTCAGTATGTCCAAGCAGTCCTCACCTTCCCAACTTGAATATCACTCAGGCCTTCAAGGTATCCCTGAAGGCTCTCTTTCTCTCATACTTCAAATCCACTGTGCTTCTCTTTCCCAATATCCAAGATGGAGACTGTCCCTACCTACACTGGTGGCCCCTGGGCCAGCTTTCCAGGTGACTGTGACTGCCTTCTCATGGGCAGTCCTGCCCCTGGCTTGGCCCCACACAATCTCTTTGGCCTGTCTTCCATGCAGCTACCAATACAAGTCTCTTAAAATGTGAGTCAGGATATAAGTCAAATATGATTGGGTCAACTATGGGCTCAGAACCCTGTAGTGGTTCTGCATTCATTCAGAATAAAAACCAAGATCTTTAATATGGCCTGGGGTGCTCCATGTGTTACGTCAGGGACTCATCTCTTCTGATTCCCCCTCCTTGTTTGCTTGCCTGCAGAAGTGCTCATTGTGCTTTTTTCTCAGAACTCTGAGCCCTCTCAAGATTTAGGGGTTTTGCACTTGTGGTTTTTCCTGTTTGAAACACTGTCCCCTGTACCTATGTGACTACCTCCCTCAGCTTCGCAAGTCTTTGCCAACATGTGTCCTTCCTCCTGAGGCTGGCTATCCTATTTTATATTGAAACCTGGCTGCTTCTCCCTGTCGCCTTGTCCCATACAGTGTAATTAGTCATTTATAACTCTTTGTTGTTATTATCTGTGTCCCCCTTCTAGACTTTGAGCTGCCTGAGGGCAGAGGCTTTTGCTGTCTTCACTAATGGTTCTCAAGAGGAGGTCCTATGATTTGCAAACCAGTGCATCAAGCTCTTTTGTGGATCTGGCTGCTATTAATGAAAGATTATGACACTAGTCACAGTGGGTAAGGAAACCAGACCTGTGTTTCAAATGGACTGAAACCTTCTGTCTTAAGCTGCTATGAGTGAGGATTTCTGAGAGTCAGTAACCACAGAGGCCCCCAAACCCCTCATTTCAGGAGAGTGCAGAAGAGGGAAAGGAACTTCTGCAGGCCTTGGCTCATTATTCTTTTCCTTCTGACTTGTTGTAATATAGTCATTATTAGTGTTTTTTTTTTTTTTTAGTGTTTTTTTTTTTTTTTAAAAAACTGGACTGAACTTTTATTTTCCATTTGGATAAATCTAGGGGATGGGGTGATATTACACGGGAGAATATATAATTGAGAAATTGCTTGGATTTTTCAGTAAAGAGTCTGTCCAGAAAAATCTCCAAAAACAATCGTCTCTAACAAATACACATTCAGAGATGTTCTAGGAAAATTAAATGTGCAAAGGTGCTCTGTTTATTTGAATATTGAATAAAACTAACTACTCTCATATCTTCTCGTAACAATTTTTCTAAAGCACATGTGCTGTGTAGGACTCTAGATACAGGACAATTGGCTTTACCGCACCAAAGGCAAAAATATGAGTAGCTCTGCCTACAGGTACCCAATCAATGATGGCCCAGGGTGATCTAGCTATATACCAAGCTTTACAGTAACAGTGTCATCGAGGCACGCTTAGTTTTTTCATCGTAAGAGATCAGTTTAATTTGTAGTGCAATGAATGTTTAACAGTTTAATGTTTTGCCTCCACTAAAGATTGTGATCACTTTAAAAATAACTAACAGCTTTTCTGTTGTGTTGTTGTTGTTTTTACCTGTGTCTGAAGTTTCATCATATCCGCTTCAATTTTAAGGTTGGATTCATTCAGTTCCTTTATTTCTTCATCCAAATGCCTAATTTCTTCATCACTCTCTAAACCTACAAAAAGTCAGACTATCTGAGTTCAAACAGAAAATATGAGACAGTGACAAGATGAGTCATTTTACGTTTATATTGGTGGTTTGTTAAGTGAAAATTATACTTTAATTTGAAATGTTGAATTTTTACCCAAATCCATTCCCAAGATTCTAAAAAGGTGGGTTAAAGAGTTCCAGGACTGAATTCCTTTGTAAGAAAAGGAAGCAGAAGAGTGCTACCATTTAATGTAATGCCCTTATGTTCCAGATGTGCTGCTGGACATGTCTGCAAATAATTTCTCATTTAAACTTCACTGCATACTAAAGGGCATGTTCCATGATACCCTTTGCACATGTGAAGACACTGAGACCTACAGAGGCTAACTGAAGCCACCCTCATCACTGACAGAAGCTGTATAACCCGCCTGCTATGAAAGAATTGCAGAGCCCATGCTTCGTCTCATACACAGTGCTGTGAGAACAGTTACGACATGAATTATGTTGATTACTTATATATTTATTCCCTGTCTGTGACCTTATGAACCATCATTGGAGGAGAGCTGAGGTGCTGGCAGGTGGCTTAGAGTCCCAGGGACACAGAATTTGTGTTCCCTATGTAGAGTTGGATAAGGAGCAATGTGATCTAGGAGAGGGAACATGGGTTTTGGGGTTTGAATGCTGGCCTTGACTCTTGTTCTTGAACCTGCACAACTTACTTTCTTTGTGCCCCAGGTTCCTCTTCAATAAAATAGACATAAAATCTCTGTTGTGAGAATGAATGCAATAAATAATAAAGTGCTGAACGTATAGTAGGTGCTCAATGAATGGAGGTACTTCCCATCACTGTTTTATAGAAGGAATATAAATGCTTTTTATGTATTTTTTAAAGCTGGGAACGGTAGCTTATATTAAAGAAGACAGAAGCAGGATGTGAGGTGATTTTAACTGTCCCGAATAATGAATCCAAACCAAAGACATGATAACAATTAAGGGGGAATAAATGTAAACTTCTGCATCTGCATTTAATAGGATTGAATTCATGAGAGCAAGGATGAGAGAACTGAAAATTTGTCTGAAACAGTTCTAGCCTCTTATACTGCCCTGGGGTTACTGCTACTCTGGAAAATAGTTCATTGTTCGCCGAAGGTGAACTTCACGTGTCTGTGACCCAGCAATCCCATCCCTAGGTACACACTTGAGACAAACACAAGCACACAGGGAGGTACGCACAAGATGAACATAGTGCATGGCACAGCAGCCCTGGAAACCTAGAAATACACCGCCCGCCCACCAAAATGACACGGATGACTCTCACCAATAACATGGTGAAAAATGTAAGCCCTGAAAGTTTACATCAAGCTTGATAAAGCAGGTGGCCGTTTTGTGGGTACTTAACTGCTTCGTTATAAGTATCTAACTACCTAAATAGAAGTGAGCCATGCATGCATCGATGAAGAGTGTATGTCACAAGATTGATCTAATATTGGGCTTTGAGATCCAATGAAGAAAAAAAGCAAACCAAAAACTAAGATCTAGGTATTTTAGTACCTAGATCAACTTGAATATGAGTCAACAGTGTGACACAGCTCCTAAGAAAACAATAAACAATGGCCTAGCACCACACTAGTGGATCTATAATACCCAGGACACAGGATTTATTCTGAACTGGCCGGCTGAATCTGGGGAACTGTATTGCATTCTGAGCACCAAGTCTTGTAGTTGTTATCCTACCATAGGATCTTCTCTCAGATGAGTGCGATCTCAATCCCAGACTTGTTTCTGACAGCACCAGGGAGCATGGGTTATCAGTCAAACAGGCATTCTTAGTGCTATCAGCATTTGAAATGTTTCTGGTTTGAACAAATGAAAACTTCTATTGCTCTCTTTGCTAAATTGTTTTTCCTTTCTATTTCTTTGCAATAAAATTCCACATTGGAGGATGATATTTTCTTACGTGATATCTGGTAAGGCAGACAATAAGCAAGGAATCACTGATAAAATATGAAGAACCATGAAAGGAACAAGCAGGGTATATTGAGAACCCTCGCTGGAAAGCCTCTTTTGATCTAAGACTTTACTGACACAGTGAAAAGGCAGGCATGAATGCATCAATGAACAGCTTGGGATTGAGTTGGACTGAAGATCCCAGAGGAGAGAGTAGAGAGCACAGAGGCCTGGGGTGGGAAGGGAATGGGAATTCTGCTCCCAAGACTGTAAGAAGGCCCTTTTGAGTGAAAGCACAGTGAATGAGGGAACAGGTCTTGGGGGACCTCACAAAGAGCCTGAGTTCATTCTCCGTGCAAGTGAAGAATTTTAAGCAGGGAAGTTGATGTGATCTGGTTGACTTTTCAAAAGCATAACTCAGTTCTGAGTGGAGAATGAGGTGAGAGGGAGAGAGAGCAGAAACCAGAAGACTGGTTAAGAGATTATCGCTGGGGTCCTGGCTTGTCTGATGGTCCTTTGCCCCACGGCAGTGAAAGTAGTGTTAATAGAATTCAACTCAACATATGCTTTGTAGGTGGGATCTGCAGTGCTTGTGATGAATGGGAGGAAGGGGATGACAGAAGGGAGGAATCAAGGAAGACTACTCTTTCTGCTTGAGCAGCTGGGCAACTAGTGGCATTTCTGGGATGAGAGAGCCTACAGGAGCAGCCTTTCCTTCCAGCAGGAAAATCAAGAGTTTAATTTTGGCTGTTAAGTCGTGGATGCTTGTGAGAAGACTCGAGAGCTCAGGTTCTTGGTACTGAGCTCTAGTTAGGATTTACGTTCCCCTGGCGTCCAATGTTAGTGATGACACTCAAGCCTCTTGATCAAGATGGGGCCATTTGGAAGATGCTTGAGAACAAAAGGTACCTAGAAGCCTGGGGGAAGGTATAGTCATGAAATGAGACCTCAAATAAGAAATATGTGACCGGATCTAACACATAATAGGCACTCAATAAATTCTCATGCAATTAATGAGTAAGTGAACTATGTTTTCATTATGATTTCTGGGATTTGGGGAGATATTTTATTTTATTTTGGGAGGGGTAGATATTTTAGCCAATCTCTTTGTAATTTTTTTCCATGAATACATTACCTTATCTATTTCCATCAATCTATCTGCCAACCTCCTCTCAATACATTGTCTTTAAGAGCCTCCATCACTGAGTGGAACTGAGAGGATGCACTTTGAATTTCACATTGTACTTGAAAATATTAACTCATTTGATTCTCTTAAGGATCCCAAGAGGCAGATACACTTATTACCACACTTTATAGATGGGAAAGCCAAGACATGAAGAAGTTAAGGAATAAGCAATAGAGCTGGGATTCAAAACACAAGCTCTCTGGCTCTAGAATATGTTATCTTAACCATTATAATGCTACCTTTACTCATGGATATTTAATCTGATTTGAAATTATCAATTAAATGTGTACACTAAAGTTCCTTGACAGATACATACACAATAGAATAAAGAGTAGAAGCAGAGTGCTGGGTTAGACTAGACAGTATTGTTGACCAAGGAAACCATATAAAATTTTCACTAAATATTTTAGTAGGACTATTTCAGTGGCCCTGTTTCTTTATAGGGTGTACCTATTTAAAAGCAAGGGAATATGCTTTCTTTACTCAGTACAGATCTATGCCTAATATACATAATTAGGGATTACATAATTTATAATAATACTTCATGTTCTGTATAAATTTATAAGGGATGTATATACTTGTATGCTCAATTTATAAAGGGCTGTAAGTAGTTAGACAGTGTTCTATCCAGAAAAGAATAATGTATTACAATATTTAGACCATGGAACTTTGCCACAGGGAAAGAACTAGAAGGGTCTACTAAATATAAGAACATATACAAAGGTCAACCATTATAACTTTTACTTGTCCCACAAAGAACAGAAAAGCAAGCAGTCATTCATGTACAGATGTTTGAATTTTATTATCAAGGAGAATACTAATGGTCTTTAAGAAATTAGCATGAAAAAAATTTAATTATGGCAAGGATGGAGAAGATAAATTCTTCTAAAATAAATGTAAACGTTTTTGGTGTAGACTTTCCATGTTTTAACTGGTTTGTAGGTCAAATTCTCCTAACATGTTATGTAATCCAACCAACTGCCTGAATGATTTGTACTTATTTTAACCTAATATAGCACACCAAGACATTTAAAGTCGTATGCACTTTATTGCAATTTGATTGCTTTTTAGGGCCTGGGGAATATTAGGTTACACCTGCTTTAAAAATCATCCAGGGAACCATGGCTGTGTCCAAGCTTTAAAGTAGGAGACTATGGGCTGGCACATCATTAAAGACCTCACATGACTCTAGGGCCTCCCTGACCCTCCACTGACCACTGACCTGAACTCAGGTGGATTATTCTTTAGACACAAGTCATTGTAGGTTCTCAGGCTTTAGATGAGCATTAGCCCCTTGCTCCTCAGATTATGAAAACATGTACTTTTCCAGTTTCCTGAGTCATTTAGAATAAATGCACTTCAGACCCTAGTCAATGTGGTCCAGCCATCTTGCTGCTGCTTCATGTCCTATGAAAGCTCAGCTGAAGATACTCAATTTATAAAGTACCCTTTGAAGGATGTGTGTGCAGTCCAGCTGCTCCCAAGTTACTATCACCATCTATCAGCTGTGCGCACGCAGCCCATATATCTCACTGGCACTCCGTAAAACTTCACTGTAGTTTGCTATACTGCCAACAGCTCACCACCTTGTTCTCTTTATTAGGAACAGCCTGTGATTTCTATTATATTTACTGTTAATGGTGTTACTGGTGTTCTTATAATGAAGATCCATAAGAAATATTTTCTTCATGCACTCAGTTCCAGAGAAAGTTTTACTCTGAATTTACTCACTGACAGTGTCTCATAATGATTACATTCTCCTTTTGCTTTGGCGTCTAAAAAGCTGAAAGTCAAATCTGAGATTCCTTCTTACCCACTGTGAAATGGCTTGCTTCACACATTCCTTCTATTATCCTCAGGCTTCTCCCACTTTGCCTTCTTATCTTTGATATCCTTTTGTCTCATTTTTTAAAAAGGTATTTTTACTTATTTATGAGAGAGAGAGAGAGAGAGAGAGAGAGAGAGAGAGAGAGGCAAAGACACAGGCAGTGGGAGAAGCAGGCTCCATGCAGGGAGCCTGATGCGGGACTCAATCCTAGGACCCCAGGATCACACCCTGGGCTGAAGGCAGGTGCCAAACTGCTGAGCCACTCAGGGATCCCTTTTTTGCCTCATTTTTTGAATTAACTTCTAAGTAGCTTTTTCTAAATGTAACATTGCACCCCCCATCATTTAAATAGTGCTTGAAATAAGGTGACAAATAAATAAATAAATATTAAATTGTGCCAGTTTCACAGAAAAAGTTCTAAGAGGCGGTTGAGAAGTGGAGAATATTTCCAAGGAACAATGAAAACATCTAGAGAAAGCACTTTAACTTAGCATTTAAATGTTGGGAAGAATGTCCAACACAGTCCCGAACCTCTAACTTTTTTTATTCCTCCTCCACAGGCAAATTGACCCCCTTCATCTCTTAGTGGTGGCCCCCAAGGAGCCACTTGAAGTATGCATCTGGCAACAGATGAAAGCCTCACAAGGGAAAGAGTAGGAAGCTCAAAAGTGCTTCCCTCCCTCAGATACTGTATACCTTCTTTTTAAAAAAAATTATAGGCAAATTAAAAATACTGGGCAATACTTTCAAAGAAAGTATAAATGGTTACCTCATTCCAGTTATGTGTCAAAGATCCATCAAATAAATCTTCCAAAGCATAACAATGCTTTGCCATTGTTTCTAGACACTTTAGGGTGGTGTTCTAAGGAAACAACACTTCCCTGAGACGGTATTGATGAGAAGTCTTAGGAAAAGAACTCAAGAATCAAAAGAAAATTGGAAGATCCAAAGCTCAGAACCGCATCTATTAACTCAGAGCTCAGAAACTGCATCTATTAACTTTGATAAGGCATGGACACTAGGGAAATATGTAGGGAAATATAGATATAAATTTAAATAATCCAGATTCGTCATAAAAATATCATTTTGAGGATGAAACAAAATTTAAGGACTCAAAGATCAATGCCAAAAACTGTAATTTGGCAGAAGGCTTACACCAGGAACACACACATACCTACACACACATACTCATGCTCATGCAAAACTGGTCATTTTGAGGACTGAAGGACAAAAGTTCAGCCTGTGTGTCTTAATCCCTTGAATAACACTGCTTGATTCTCTGTGTTGGAGATAGTTATGAGAAAGGAAGGAAAAAACCCAAGTAATTGTTTTTTAGATGAAGTTATAGTTTTAGTTCAAATTTAAGGAAAGTGTCCTTCTTATACATTAAAACTGCACTTCCCTTATAGAGAATAATGTGGCATGTGAATGCTTTGGGGAACTATGGCTGAGACCTTGGTAAGGATGGCAACCTCCAGCCCTGTGCTCTTACCGCCAGTTGCTTTGAGCTTGATGGTCATTAGTTCTTCTGAGACCTTGCCCTTTTTGATGGCTTGTGCATTTAGAGGACATCCAGATAGGCTGTGAGAATAGAAATTATACCAATGTGTGAAATGCATATGATTTCTTCTTTTTAACACATTACTTCTTACAAAAATTAAGGTTTTCTACTCACCACTTACTAAGTCTTTGTCTATTAATTACACTATAATCTGTAGTCTCTTTGTAGAAATAACATAATATTTATGAAAATGAAAGCAAAGGCTCTCAGATAATGTAATAATGTTTTGGGTTTTTGTTCTTTAAATCAAAATTCAAATAGCTGCTGCTGTTATCATTTAATTAATCTTGTTAAAATGTTACCATTCTGCATTCATGTAAGTGCCTTTTTTAGGAGTGGTTACTTTATTTTCTGTAAATGCAAAATGATACATATATGTTACAAATAAGAATTGTTCCAAACTAGTCAAAACTCTGAATGATAAAGCAATATCTAGTTCTTCTTGTTTTTTATGTACTGTAGTCTGATCTTTACAGAATGACTTAAATTAACACAAACCCAATATAACATGACCCCAAATAATACAAGCTCAAAAGTAAAAATAAACAGGTGTATCACATACTGTTTGGGGATGGGAATGTTTCTAATTTATTCTCTAACTTTTTAGACATTATTTTTCACTAAAAATTCTCTACCCTGAAAGGAGAATGAGAGGAAACACTATAAATATAATCAGATATAATACACCTGTGGATGGTGTATTGCCCTGCAGTGGGGTTTACACCTTTTCCTTAATATTGTGCTCTTCAGCTATGCTTCCTTTTTTTAATGTCATCTGTTTTATTTAAATTGCACCAAAATGATAATGACAACATTGAACAAAACTTGTTTGCTGTAATTCATGATGAGATGATTTTGTTGTTCTAAGCAACCATTAATTCTTGTGCAATTTTGTTGTATTTTTGGATACAGTTTTTAAATATCATTAAAAACTGTCACAATCAGCCACTTAGAATATTTTTTCCCACAGAAATTTGGTTGCAATTCATGTACAAACAATCATTTTCAATCCAAACATTAGGACACTTGGCAAAGTGAAAAGAAATGTTTCTGAAGCATGGTCCTCAATAAATGTTTGCTACATGAATGTGTTTTTTCAAAAGATTTATTGATTTATTTTGAGGGGGAGGGGCGAGAGAGAGACTGAGAGAGAGAGAGAATCCTAAGCAGACTCCATACTGAGCTCGGAGCCAGATATGGGGCTCAATCTCATGACTCTGAGATTATGAGCTGAGCTGAAACCAAGAGTCGGTTGTTTAACCAACTGTGCCACCCAGGCACCCCATGAATGTATTTTTAAGTGAATTCAAAGTTATTCTATATGAAGATTATATGAAATCCAAAATAATAGGCATATAATACTATATAAAAAAAGAAGGCTATGTGGTTTGCCAGAATTTTATAAATTAGGAAATATTTAACAAAGGAAAATAAAATAATGAAAAAGTTCAAACACAATGATGAGTCAGATCTATTTTGTAAGCTTCTTGCTGTGAAGTATGGTCTGTATAAATTTCATTATTGTTTTTCTTCTGAAAAGTTTGCACAAGTCTGTCTTGTTTTATGTCACATAGTGTATTCTCAGAAAATGGTCATTAACAGGATTAATACTTCATTGGTAAGGTGGATTTAAAGTGAACTGTAGTGAGTCAGTTGGTTGAGTGTCCATCTCTTGATTTCCGCTCCGGCCATGATCTCAGGGTTGTGGAACTGAGCCCTACAAGGGCTCCGTGCTCAGTGGGGAGCCTGCTTGGGATTCTCTCTCTCCCTTTTTTTCTCTTCTTCCTTCCCCACCCCTCCCTCCTCACCCCATTACTCTCTCTTTCTCCCTCAAATAAAATAAATATATCTTAAAAAAACACAAAAGTAACCAGTAGTAAGTCCACTTGTCAGGTAATGGTAAGGCTATTCATAGCTCAGAACTTTTCTTCTCAACAAGCTGCTTTTTTCCAACAACAAGGCAATAAATTGCCCTGTTGGAACACAGTGGTGAGGAGAGCTAGCAAAGGGTTCAGAGCTGTGGGACTTAGAACCAAAGGGTATAGTCAAGTTATGAAAGTGAAGATATGGTTTCAAAATGTCCCTTGATAGTTTGTATCTTCCAATATAGTTACATCTTCCAAACTATAGTTTGGAAACAAATCTTAAGTCTGAAAAAATTGGAAGTGAAAATATTATAAAAAGTCATGCTTCCTTTTGAGGATGACCACGTTGTCCATGGAGCTTCAGTCTGCTGCTCAGGAAAAGCTGGAGGTTGGCTGGGGTGTCACTGTCAAAGTTAAGGCTTCTTATTGCAAAAGCAGGAAAAAATGTGTCATGGTTTTTATCAATTTGCAATTTTACTGCACTTAATGCCAATTTTAGACCATATCTTCATCTGCCTTTCTAAAGCGAAATAGTAGGTGATACAATTTATATGGATATCACTCTTTATATTTAAAAGTCTTCAAAAAAATACCCCTCAAAAACGGCAGTTATGGCACAGCACTGAATGAGGTCTACTTGTCACCTAGAAGTTCTGGCTCTAAACCTACAAAGATCTTGTGTGTGTGCTTTAATATAAAAGCATTTGTCTTCTCAGACTGCCTTTTTGTCAAAGTAGAAGTCTGTCATGCAACACTTAAAGCACAGTTTTAAAATAATTAGTCTGTAAATATGATGCTGATGCAAATGCATGGATCAAATCACTCTTCATCATCCTCTAAGCTAAGTTTTGTTATTTTTCCCATTTGCTGCAGGTTGGAATGAGAAAAATTACAAAACTGACCTCTGAATAGCTGGGGAAAGACTTTGAGTCTGGCACACAGCAAGACCCACTGAACGCCAAGGATGTGGACAGGCAGGTGCTCACTACGGGGGCTCTCTGGTCCCAATGCGGTGTGCAAGGGCAGCTCCTGAACTTCCCTGTGCTTGTGCTCTTCTGTCAATGGAGGATAATTGTACTACCTCTGTAGTGCACAGGGTTTGGTAAGGATTAAAGGAATAAACCACCTAAGGTACTTAGTACAGTGTTCTCTACTGGAACAGAGCGTGCCCTGAATAGATGTTAGCTATTGTCAGTGATAGAAAAGAGTGCTGAACAGCATCAGGGATTTGAGGGCCAAATGCAGAATGTATAAAAGTGTATCATAGGTTAAGTTGTGCTCTTTCAGCATAAGGCATTCCTACCTTAATGAATTATTAACGAATTATTGCATATATACACATATGTTGATATAATTTTTATGAAAGGGAAAGGAAGTAGTCTGGGTTCGACACCATTATGTGCCAGACTATAAGCTTGGCATTTTATTACACTATTTCATCGCATTCTACATATAGTAAAGAGAAGCATTCCACCTTAAAGAGGATATCCCAGAGTGAATTCAGTCTCTTAAACCCTTCAAGTAGCAAGAGAACTCTCTAGTGAAGAACAGTGAAATCTGAATTACTCACTTGTTTTAACATATAATTATTTCCTTTTTCCTGGAAAATAGTACCTTGGCATTAATGTGGAAGCCTAATTTTTTAACTCTTAATATTCTTTTTCTTATTATAAAACAGGTAATATGTACGTAGATATATACGGTGCATATTTGCAGTTTAAAAATATTCTCAAGGTGAACACCTTTACCCTCAACCATAAACATATCTGAAGCTCCCCATGCCTTCAACAATTGTCCTTCTTGCCCCCAGTTAGAACCATGCCTTGAATTGTAGGTCAACGGTTCCCTCGCTTTTTAAAATGAAATTTTGCTACTTGTTTTTAACTTTCTGGAAACAGAAGTATGTCATACATGTTCTTTGGCAATTCTTTTCCACTCAGCACTGTTCTAAAATTCACTCAGGACACATCTTCATTGTCACTGCTGCGTGACAGCCCCCTATGCAGATACCACTGTTTCCTTGCACACTTAGTGGGTATGTGGGTTGTTCCCGGAGTGGACTTAGCAGAGTGATGCTACCACAGACATTCTGCGACATGTCTCTGGGCTCCAGTGTGCAGGAGACTCTCTGAGGCATCATCTTGACAGCTCAGCATCTGGGGGGCAGGGCATGTTCATTTGCTCTTTTGCAACTTGACTCCTTAAAGGCACTCTGCGACCTGGAGTGTCTCTACCAATTACTTTTCCGCCCCTAGTGAGAGCCCCTGCTGCTCTGATCCTCACCAAGCCTTAGTGTCATCATATAAAACCTCATGATTTTTAAAGATAGTTCTGTTGTTGCCGACTGAGGGATGTGCTCATCATAGTCCAGCATTAATATTTCATTGTCAGTGTTAACATGGAGATTACTGAGTCCATGATAAGAAAGTAAAGCTACTGTGCAGTTAATATGCCATTAGGCACACTTGATTTGTGACTGTCATTCCCGAATATGAAATGAGGCTACAAACTCAGAATAAAACAATGTGTGCTGTCGTGAACATGACCATGCATTTGAAAATCAAAAAATAAACCACTTAAAAAATGTAGGTTTTCTCGATAAGCAGATGCGGCTGTATATCCACTTGAGACATCAATTCCTGAGACGCTTACATTTCTGAAGCCATTGATATGTATCTTTAAAGTCAAACAAGATATAGAATGTCCCAGTTTTGCTCAGTGCATACTGCTCACAAGCAAAGCACCAGGGCTCACCAAAGCCTCATGGGATTTTAAATCCGCATCATGCACAGGGGCCAGAAGACTAGCAGGGGCCTCCTCGATTGGAGAGGTGTGTAGTGAATCTCTAGCGCCTTTTCTTTAGGTAGAATGTGAACCAAAAAGCTGGACTAAGATCAGTGTTCCCAACAAAGGACTCCACTGAAATCCACGACACTCAGTGATAAAGGAATTAAGTCATTGTGAAACTATAAAGGGTTTTCTAAATCTCTCTCATCCTGTCGTATACTTAGTAGTCACTGTGTCATTCTCTTTCTGGCTGCTGAGGATGAGTCACATCTCCCCAGAAGCAAAATAACTACAATTTGGCCTGAAATTGAGCCAGTCTATGAGAGGGAGGGACATAAATATGTAAAGAGAAAGTTTACAATTGCACTACATAATAGAGTAAATATCACCACTTGAAATTGAAGTGAACCATTAAAAGACTAAACCATTAAAAAATAGCAGCATAAGCAAATTTGAGAATACAAAAAACAAATGCAGTTTCTATAGCACTTGAAAACTGTGTAGTAAATTTTTGGAAACAGAGGAAATAGCATTTTTCATTCTTCAAAGGAGTCAACCATCTATCTGGCAAGACTCGCTGCAACCTCTAAAGTGCTATGATGAGTGAACTCAAGGAGGGATTCCCCCCTCAACCCAAAGACATTGAGGTGACACACAATCACAAAAATCACAACACAACAAAAGGCAGAAAACGAATGTTACCTTCTATGGGTGACAAAAACATTATTTACATGGCCCAGCCCATTGCAGCCAGGCAAGGGACAGTGTGGCAGCTCTTGTTTGTTCAGTTTCCAGGAGAGGGGGGCCCCATTGAGAGGATTCTCCTTCTGTCTCTTGGCAGCCAGGGGACAGCCAGAAGCAGTGCGGTGGGATGTGTATTTACCTGATATGTGACCTTGGCCGTCACACCCTATCACAGGACATCTAGAGAGACACACAGAGACATTACCAGCTGGGAGACAGCCAGATAGCTCAGGCAAAGCACTGTGGCGAGGTGAATAAGAAGGCAGTGGCAATTCCATACCATACAGAAGGCAACTGGTGGAATTGAAGAATTTTTTAAAATGCCACTACAACCAGCAAAACAGCATTATATTAGCAGAAATAGTGGTCCACAGGCCAGAGCTAAGCAAGGTTTGCGCATTATCTCACACAATCTTCCCTGCAAACCCACTGGGCAGAGAGTTTACTATCTCATTTATTAGTGGGGAAAGTGAGGCTTATAGAGCTTAGGTAACTTGTCACCCATTTTACAAGAAGTGGAGTCAAGTTCATGCCCACACGTTTAGCTCTAGAGCCAACCACATAGGCACATAGGCACATAGGCACTGCCTCCAACCAAAGACCACGGGTATAAGATGTTAACTGTGTTGCCCCACATTACATAGCCCCTTGCCCATAGAACTGGAATGTTGGTTTGTAAATGTCTAAAAAATGCATTTAGAAATGCTGTAGAGCAAAAATTTAAGATAAAATTTCACCTTAACGAAAATTAAAGTTTTTTTGGAAACACTGCCATACTTGTCATGCTTGTACTTCCATCATGCTGTTCTTCTTTAAAACAATTGGAAAAAGTATAAACTTTTTGTGGTTTTTTTTTTTGCATTATCAAAGAACTGCATACACAAAGCTAGGAATAAGACAATTTTCTCAAGCTCTTAGACTCTCTGCTGCTTCAATAGTCCTTGCATTTAATGGGGAACCTCCCCTCGCCCCCCACCAACCTCAATCAATGCTCAGTTGCATCTCAACCAATGCCCCCCTGCTTGACCAACAAGCTACATCTGGCCACACCTCAACTGCCACACCTCAACTGTCACACTCACTTGAGTTCAGGGTCTTCTTTTTCTTCCTTTGTAGGAGTCATTTTGACACCACCTTTCCTGGCACGAGGGCAGCCGGACAAACTAAGTATGTAGACAACAAAGAACAAAACCAAACCACATGATCTCACTGGCCATTGCTGGGGACATTCTGCTTTCCCTACTTCAGAAATGGAATTGGTCCATGGGGTGCTTGGGTGGTTCAGTCAGTTAAGTGTCTTCCTTCTGTTCAGGTCATAATTCCAGGGTCCTAGGATCAAGCCTCATATCAGGCTCCCTGCTTAGCGAGGAGTCTGCTTCTCCCTCTCTCTCCGTCCCTCCCCCACAAATCCCCACTTGTGCTCTCTGCTTTCTCTCTCAAATAAAAAAAAAAAAAAGAAATGAAATTGATCTTACCTTCTGTGGGAAGCATAGTTTCCAGTCACGTGCCCTGAACCATCACAACCTGGGGTTGGACACCTGGAAAATGAAAGAACAGAGTGTGCGGGCCATGTAGTTATAGTGGAGGGAAGGCGGTCATGATACATTCAAATAGAACTAAACGGAATGAGTTGCTTTTTGTGGAACTCTTTTTCCTCAAATATAATGAGTTTTTGGCTAAGAATACATTTTTTTAAGAAAATGTTAAGGTAGATAACTCCTGTGTAATGCTTAGGAGACAGTGTGTTAGTTTCTACCCTACCTGCGTTTTTTCTTCATTTTAAATTTTATTTCGGAAGGAACCTGAAATTTGGTCCACGACCTACTACCAGCCTTCTGTCTATATCATAAAAAGTTTTCCTTTTTCTGCTTAAGAAGAAAAGTTTTCCAAATTGTTTTTGTGCACAATTTATTTTCTTTGATTTGCTCCACTACCACAATAATCCATTAAATGCAGATGAACAAGAGTGGTATGTGCGAGCTCCAGAGACTTGGCACATTACTATAGTTGCCAAAGAACCTAAGTCATTTGCACCTGGTCTGTTCTGCCTCATGGACCAACTTAAATGGCCTTTTGGAAAATCTACCAATTGCTATTATCAACAATCAACTGCTAAATTTGGAATGAAAAGGGGAAAAGAGGAAGGGGAATCCAATTCTACTTGGAATGCTGAATAGGAATAGGCTTCAAAATACACTTGAAAGTAAAAACTGATATAACTTCTCACTATTTGTCACAGAGGCTGTTTTAAAACGTTTGCTTTTCTGAAGGTTCTTGTGCACATTATTTTTGTTACTATTTCACTATATGTTCACCCTGATTCAGATTTCTACCCAAACAGGAGAATAATAATAATAATAATAATAATAATATCATTCATTTTCTTAAACTCTAACCCACTGAACTTGTATGAAAATGCTTTTATATCCAATCCTGATAGAACATGGAGAGTAAATGCTTTTTCTTCCAACAAAATTTAAAATCTCATGCATCTCTGCAGGCTAACCCGAGAAATCTGCATTGCACCTTTAACCAACCATTTAAAGATAGAGTTTGTATTCTATATGGCAGGAGAGAATTCAATGCTGGTCTTTTTCTATTAACATTTCTCATAAAATAGTGGTTTACTAGCATATCGCAATTATAAACAAATCTGTGCAAATAAACTTGCTTTGAAATTCTACTTGAGTATCTAAGCAATAGGTCAATAAAATGTCTTTTTCTTTTTTCTATGGAAAAAACCTAAAGAGGTTATTTATCAGATGGCTGTATAAAACATGTAAATACTGAATATTGCTATAGAACTTCTCAATCTACATGTATTCAAAGTGTTATCAACATTTTTTTCTAGAAATAATGTTTAGAGAAAATAAGAGAACCAATAGCTATTATTAAGGCATGGAAATGTACAAGTTTAGAACAATTGAGTAAGATTGAATAATAAGCGCTGAGTAAGATAAGTAAGTCTGATTGAGTAAGGCTGCCTGGCGACTTCTCCCTTTTCAATCTGTTAGTCATGTCTTGACCTAACATTCTTATATTTCAGCCTAGAAAAATGGCAATCTATAGCATGATTTCCAGGATCTATACTGACACAATCAACTGTACTTTACATATTGAATGTGAGAAAAGTTGCATATTTCATAGTTCCTTTTACTATTTCTGGTATTAAAATTTCCGTTTCATATCTGTTTAAAATCACATTCACATCTTCTTTCATAAACTTATTCTTTGTAATTTTTAGAGAAAGAATTTTAAACAAGCTAGAAAATGGAAAGACTAACAAAATATTGAGAAAATGAAAGATCTGAAATTTTACTTGTGATTTAGACCTCAGTGTTGGTTCTGCTACTTACACAAATATTATTTTATCATTAGACATAGTAATCCTCATTTTTCTTAAAATATTATTATTTGCAAATATTTCATTAAGTTTGCCTAATGTTATTGCTTATCTTTTCTAAATTTATGCCCTATTATATTTTAAAGGGTATAAGGTAGGTTATGACTTTTTATTACCTATATGTAATATAACAAGATGCAAAAAAAGTGAGAAATTTGGAATAAAGAAGAGAAGAATAGGAAAAATAAAATCAATAAGTAGAAGTTAATATACACATGGCTTTGAGATCCTGTAGACTCGGTTGGGTACTGAAAGTGAAAGATAGTCACAGGATTCAAAATTCCTATAAAGTAAAATATTATACTGTTTACTTAAAATTAGATGATGAAAGTGCTTTGCCACACTTCATGGGTCTGATTTAGAGTATAAATTCTGATATCAGCAGAAAAAAAGAATTATATTCAATTATTCCATTGTTACTTTAAAAAATGTTATAAAGGAAAAAATCCCCAAAGCAAGCAAATGAATTAAATTAAATTAAATTACACCGAGGTTGTTTTTAGTCATTTGACCTTTGTGGTAAAAGAATGCATTGGTTATAATTTGGTTAGTCATGATTTAGTACTTGTTAGTGAAGACCCACATGGGTCTTGAACGAGGGGAGTCCTAACACAGCTGAGGAAGAGCTAGGAGTTCATGATTCCAATACTTACTTAAGCTCCTGAGAGTTAGCAGCCATGAGGGATTTAAGAGTCTTATCTGCTAAAGGACATCCAGAAACACTAAAGAGGGATGAGAAAAACAAAAACAAAACACACAACACTGACATATACAGATCAAACTCCAATGGTATCTTGAGTTTGTGAACATATGCTAAATTTACTGGTGACCAGCAAATGGGAAAAATATAACTAGATTATAATCTGACTTTGCTACTCTAACCAGTCTGGGCTTGTGGGCACTTCAATTATTTCTCATAGACTCAAGTTTGCTATTTTATCAAATGAAGGGTTTTAACCCAATGAGACTCCTCAACTCTAGAATTCAGGGATACAATGATTACCGATTTGGAGTGCATTTCCACTGCACACCAAGGAGTGATGTCTTAAAAGTTTAATTGGTGCCCAAAGGGAAAGCAAATCACACCAATGAAGAAGGTAAGTGGAAAGATTAAACACAGCTTTTTTTGCACTGTTTAACATCTTGACCTGCTGTTTGCCCAGGGCTGAGGATGCCACACCCCACAAAGTGGTCAACCCAAGTCATGCTACTATCTTATCTTGGTTTCACTTGAGTCCTAAAGCTAGACAGAGCCAAAGCCCTAACATAAACTCTGTCTTTTGGCTTATAACCTGCACAATAGGATCAGAAAACTTTTTGACCAAAAATCATGACTTCTATACCATAGAAATAAAAAGCCAGATGATTTAAATTAGCTTTATTGATGAGGGAAAAAACTCCAAAGCCCCAACTAACCCACTCCTCAATTCCAGATCCAGATAGTATCTTCCTAGAATGGGTGAGAATGAATATTTACATTAGAATAAGATATTGTAGGCTATTAGGTACCTGCGATGGGATGCATAGTTTCCTGTGACATGGCCACTTCCATCACATCCTGGCGTTGGACAGCTGAGTCAATAAAAAAATATAGATTTAAAGTCAAGTGCTTCTCACAGATTCATTTGCTCTATCTATAGGTTATGAGGTAGCTTCTCTTTTCGAGATCAGTTAGCACAGCACAGGACACGCAAGAGCTAGTGAACCAAGGATTTATGTTATCTAAGAACCAGCAGACCAGCTAGAAAAAAACTGGCATGATCTGAAGGTATTTGTTTTCAAGATCATATTGATTCTCAGACTCAAATCATGCAGGAAAGTGATGCTAAAATATATGCCCCAGTGATGTTGTAAGCCAACAAACAATGATGTTTTGTTTCTTTGAAAATATAAATGTTATAAACCTGTGTTTTATAATGAGAGTGGCTCTTAGGAATACTGGAACCAATTATATAACATATTCAGAAAGGAATTTCTGTGAGTTTGAGGGTTTTTTTTTTTTTTAAGTAGACTCCATGCCCGGTGTGGAGCCCAATGCCCAGCGTTGAGTCCAATGTGGGGCTTGAACTCACAACACTGAGATCAAGACCTGACATGAGACCAAGAGTCGAATGCTTAACCAACTGAGCCACTCAGGTGCCCCAGGGATTTTTGTGAGTTCTATAAAGAAGGTCATCACAGTAACTTAGTATGTATTTTAGAAACTATCTGAAAAAGAAAATCTTTGAAAATACTACATATACTGGAAAGGTAAACTAATATTTTAGATGGGAAAGTTGCTGACAATATAGAAACCGATAAGAAATTTAGTTATTAAAGCTTGGGATCGATTTTATCCAAACCTTGAAACCATCATAGACAATTGCTAATTAACCACCAAAGCAGTAGGCTCTCCAGGCCATCTGCCAAAGACCAGAGTCTGTATTGGCGCACTCCATTGTATCTCAGAAGCTGGTCACATTCCGTGCATCTTATGTGTGTCTTAAAAATAATATAAGAAGATTCACTTCCGTAGTTAATAGATTCCTTCATTTCTCAGTCATTTATTTTCCTCTAATGCTGCTCGAAAGTCACTTATCTGTAGTAAGCAGATTGACCCCAGCCTACTCAGCGCTATTTGTGGTGGTGTTAAAGGAAAAATCAGCTACCTCATGCTGCCTGAAGTGAAGGCTTATCCATATGTGTAGAATACAGAGATCACCCCTTGGAAGGTACATTTAGAAATAGATGGCCAACATCCAAGATTTTCTGAAATGTCACCTTAGGTTTTGTTTTGTTTTCCTGTGAGCTACTTTCTATCATCCTCAGGTAATCTAAAGAAACTATATGAGTGGGCAGCCCCGGTGGCCCAGTGGTTTAGCACCGCCTGCAACCCAGGGTGTGATCCTGGAGACCTGGGATCGAGTCCCACGTCGGGCTCCCTGCATGGAGCCTGCTTATCCCTCTGCCTATGTCTCTGCCTCTCTCTCTCTCCTCCCTGTGCATTCTCATGAATAAATAAATAAAATCTTAAAAAAAAGAAACTATATGAGTTAGAGCATTTCCATCTCTCAGAGAGATATTTGATTTTTTAGGGCTCAATCCAAGCTGAATTTACCTGGCTCTTCCCCACCCCTCTCTCTAGATGGGATATTAGAAAGATGTGGTAGCTATACATACATGTAAACAAGTAAAGAAAAAAAACAGTGATTAACATTTGAGCTCAGTTATCTTGCAAATACCATTCACCCACTAAATGGAGAAACACTCTGTTCTGAACACTATACAATTGTAATATTCAGAGCATGAGAGATCTGTTGTAATTGCCTGGGAATCCCCGTTTCAGAAATACATGGCCACCTAGTGTGCAAAAACAGCACTGCATTTTATTTTATTTTATTTTATTTTATTTTATTTTATTTTATTTTATTTATTTTATTTTATTTTATTTTATTATTAAATTTTATTTATATTTTTTAATTACTCCTATCAATACTGCTGGGAGAGGCAAAGATGCCAATGAGTTCTAAATCAGGATAAGTAATAAAGTATGCATTTAATTAGCTGCTAATTACTTTTTTTTTAAGTTTGGTGGTTTAAAGAGATCAAGGAATAAAGAAAGAACTGGAGACAGCGTTGTTCTGGGAAAAGCTCTTGTTTCAGATTCTGATACAAATTACAAATTTTCAATGAATAATCTTACCCAATTACATGTACCCATAGGAGCTTGGTGAAACATTCTGAGTTGGTTTGCAAATGAAAGTATTAACATTTAGAGAAAGGAAACAAGCTAGTTAGTTCCTTCAGTAAGTGGCCCTCAAACTCTAAGAAAATTTATTCTAATCAACGACATTAAAAACTCTTATTTTGCAAACAGTTTCTGATAATCAATTAAAGTACATTTATCTGTTAGAAACATAAAGCAAAAGATAATTTTTAAAAAAGATGAAACTATAGAGTATTAAGACTTTTATAAAACCAGTCTATTAGCACAGGTACATTAAGACCAGCAGTATCCATTGAAGCACTCATCTGTCTGGAAAATTAGGAAAGAACCGCGATGTCTCTAGAGTTAATTTTCTAAGAATTCATGATTAGATTATATTTCAAACACTGGTCCAATGTTTTTAGAATCCTTCCTCTTTTGTATTTGCTTTGTCCCAGTGAGAAGTGTCCATCACAAAATAATCTCACTTCATGTCTCTGTTCAAAATGGTAATGCAGGTTAATTAATTTTGTACATGACATTTAGTTAGGAATGATTCTCACAATTTCCAAAAATCTACCTTCAAAGGATGAAAATTTGCCTTGTTTGAAGATACTCAAAATTCTATGAGGTAACAAAATCCATACAAAGATTTTAAAAACTTGAGTGGTAGCTCCACAAGGGAGTAAGTGAAGAGCTAATCCCACGTCACCTCTTGGGAGAAACAGTGTTTGGCGAAATGGAAGCTCTAGTGTATTTGGTACTACATTCGCCATGTCGCTCCAGCCACTGAGTCTCAGGTGAACATTAAACTCATAAGAGAACCTGATATTTTACCCAGTGATGTTTGCCTATGGAATCCACAAAGAATGAAGTCTAAGACTATGTAAGAATCAGTCACATGTCAACACAATAAACCAGTGCTGCCCTAGCAAAACTGTCTTTGAGCACTTTCTATGTGCAAGGCCTGTAACAGCATTTGAGATGTGTTCCCTGCTCCTAACTCACTGTTCATGTAGCTGGGAAAGTGAGGGGCAGTATAGCGAATACTATACATACGAGATGGTATGGATGTAGGAGAAAACAAAATCAATGAAAGAACACCTTTGGCCTCCTGGTGCCTCCACTCTAGTGGGGAAGGAAGACAACAGAGAATACAGGCAAGCAAAATGTGTGAGTGGATTAGAAGGTGATAAATACTGAGGGACAACTGGAGATCTGTCAAAAGGGGATAGGAATGTCAGGACTGGGGGACTGGTGGTGATAAGTAGCCAGGAAGACCCCTCAGGTAAGTGGCACTTGAGAGAAGAGCTGAGGGAGGATGAGGACATATGGCACCCTGCTGAGGTCTGTCGCAGAAGGAATCACAACAGTGAGGCCCCGAAGCCTTAGAGGAAAAGAGAAGAGGTGGCTGGTGAAGAGTGAGGGGCAGGGTCTTGCGGAGAGGGGAGAGATCATTCCCTGTGGCCATTGGAAGTGGGTCCAGAGGTAACGCAGGCCTGGGAGTCCTTGGAGTCCAGATGGTTCTAACACTGAGAACTAAAGAACTGAGTGTAGACAGTGGAGAGAAGAGGTTCTGGGACTGAACTCTGAGACATTCTATCTTTGGAAGGCTGCCCAGGAGTCTAGGCAGGTGAGGTGAGAAACTGTGCTAAGATGTGGTATCCTAGAAGCCAGGTGCAGAAGATAGAGGAGGAAGTGATCAGCTCTGTCAAGTAGGGTCAAGAGGACCAAGAAACCACACACAGATGGATTCTCTGGAGAAATTAAGGATGATACCAGTGGAATGATGAGATGAAAGCCTGTCTTGGAGAAATTCAGGGAGATACGGAGACACACTTTCTTGAGGAGGTTAGCTACAACAGGAAGAAGAGACGGGGGATTGAGGTGAAAGCCAGTTAGGAGAGGGTCTTTAATTTTTTAATTAGAAAAATTGAAACATAACTTTTATACTGAGGGATTCAGAAGACGCTGGTGTCTAAAAGGAAGGATTACTTTTTGCTAGAATCTCTCGTTGATTGGCAGCTTTGAATATATTTGTGTATGAATATACTTTAATATTTCACCATTTACACACAGAAAACGTTTTTCTGCATGTCACTTGCTCCCTCACTTACTCATGTGAAACACCACCCAGCCAGGACTATATGCTTGCTAAGGTTATAAATGTAGAAAAGCAACAGTTCCTGTCTTGTGTTTGCCTAAAACACCTCCTGCCCCCTCCTCCCTCACCGTCTCTCCTGATAACTCTACTCCCTTGCCTGATAACTGGAGGTGAGGTGGAGAAGGAACCTAGGAGAGCCTGCCATCCTGACAACGCCCAGGCCAACTTGTATCCATGAGGGATTTGTGTGAATCACACTCTAAATTCTAATGACCCACAGTCATAGATCTTCAAGGTTTAAAAAAATAGGGCCACGCAACTGATCTAAATGCACAATCTTCATTATTATCCTTGTAGAAATGTGGTGGCAACACCTGCGCTGTCCCAGCACACGTTTCTCTGAATTTCCCCACCTTGGACTCCCTTCCCAGCCTCCATTACTTTTTAAGACTTATTTTCCAAATATTTATCCAGTATTTTCTTAACCTATTTGAACTTACAGTACAAATCAATAATATCAGATGCCCAGTTTGGGAAAAAAGAAGCTTTTTGCTCCCATGGCAATCATTTTTCTTAGTTGTCCTCCTGCGTCTTCGAACAGCCTCATTTCTGTGTTCTTTGTAGGCTTCCTCTTTGCCTCTCAAGGGCATGTGGGGATGTGTGTCCTCAAGGCCTCAGAGTGTTCTACGCCTTTCTTTCTATACTTTCTCTAGCCTCATGATCTCATTTCTGAGTCTGTACATCAGTGTTTTATTCTGTCTATATCAATGTTTTAGATGACTTTCCTGACATAGTCCAAGAGTGTATCCAGCTTCAGAGTGATTCTGCACACTGTTCTTAAAGCACCGTGTCATTAATTCACTTTTCTTTTTAAGCACCCATGGCTTGCTCATGCAAGACCTGCAACCAGGCAGTTTTCCCAGGGCTCCAGCCTGCTTGACTTCATGCCTGCACTCTCTCTCTCTCCAGGTCCTACTGGTTCTTAGGGCTCAGCTCAGAGTTCCTGCTCCAGAAAAGTTGTCCCTGCTACTGGAAAACTTGTCCCTTCTTCTGGCCTTTACTGAAGTTTTAACTAGTACTTACTGCCATTGGGTGCCCTGGTCTTTAAACTCTTGTGAGTCACAGAACCCTTTGGGAAGGTGATGAAATCCATAAACTCCTTTACCCAAATAATAATTTGCATTAAGCATTATAAAGTTCATAGACTCCCTGAAGCACTGACTTGGACCTTTTTGGGTCAGAAGTTGTCAGATTAAGAACTTATCAAAACATAAACATTTCCTCAACTCATTCATCCAATCCAGAGCAACATTCTCTATCCCTAGACCCATTTCCTTCAAGGTGCTTTCCAGAAGGGCAGACATATGCCTAGTACATAGTAGGCATGCAAAAAATAGTTACTGAATAAATTAACAACTGTTCCACTGCCACAGAGAGAATAGCTAGACCCAACTAGTCCTAAAAAGATGTGATCCTTAAGATCCTTAAGAATGGATTCTGGGTCTTTCACTCCATCATCACAACTGACTTTATAGTATCACTGAACTCATCATCATGAAAAATGTTAACTGATTTTTAACAGAATCCCAAAATTAAATGGAAAAATTCCACTCCAAAAAGAAAAAGCTGGCCTCTGCTTTCAAGGAGAATCTCGGAGTCCATGATAGAGGTTATATCTATAGGTAGTAGGTTTTTTTTATCATCCTTATGCTAACAATATCATAATTATGTTATGGAAAGAAACATTAACTTGCTAATAGATTTTAGGGACTTCCAATTTACTGCAGAATCAAAAAGAAAATGGCTGCCATCTGTACCTCAAACACATGTAAAATTTTAAAAATTTCAACATAATAATTAAGTTCTAATTGTGATTAGTTTCTCAAAAAATTTCAATAGAGGCATGAATCAATGTACTTCCCAATTAAGAAAAATGTTTATGCCTTTACTGGGCAAAATGCAATAATCTTGCTTAGAATACTATGTCCTAATGGTCTATGCCACAAGCATTAATAATTGTCACACTATGAAAACACATTATCCACTAGGCATTTCATATTCTTATAGATTTTTTCCTTAGATTATCACAATACCATGAGATGACTATTGATAGCTCTTCTTTATATTTAACAAATGAGGTTCAAATGAGTTTGAAAACTATATTTAAAGCCATGAGACTAGTAAACAGTACTATGGAGATGCTGCAGTTCAGCCTGACTCAATGGAGCAGAGCACAGTGGAACGTTCTGATTAGCCAAACAGAACAAAACACATAAACATTTCTAATTGTTTTATATTGTTTTTGTTTTTTTCAGTCATCCCTTAGCCTGAAATCATGTCACGTACACTTTTTTCCCCATAATCCTCTAAATTTTAAGCATAAATTTAGGTATGTATCGAACATTTAACTATTGACTGGTTGAAATTGCCCTAAAACACTCCTCAAGTCAGCTACTTAAACCAGGATATTACTACTTAAAATTATGAACTTGAGTCTCCTAATTCTAGAATCTCACAGAATATGCCATTGAAGATTGCTTACGTGATTAGTTCTTTTTTGAGATCTCTTGCATGGAGCTTGGGTTTAGGACTTGGTATGGAGGCCTCTCCAGGAAACTTTTTTTCCTCTAAATTTTCTAGAGAGCTCACTGGGTCTTTCTGGAAGAAAAAAAATATAGAAGTATAGAAGGCATTAGGGCATCCTGGAAAGACAACTGTATTTGAAGTCATCAGGGTAGAATTTGAGTTTTAGCTTAACAACTTAGCCAATATTCTTCACAGGATTTGTACACAAAATTAATAAGGTGATAAGTATAAGGTTATATCCTAATTAATTATTATGGACCTCTACCCTTGGTGAAGAATAAAAAAATTATAATTCATAGGGACATATTTAAAAGTTCACATTTTGGCAAGTATAACTACAGAGGCATTTCTTGAGCTATATAACTAATACATTTCAGATTTTATTATATAATGAATATTTCCTAGAGAACATAAGAATAGTTCTTTATATACATAGCAGCCATTGGTAAAACAAAATAAATATTGCAAAAGTGAGCCACAAGGTTTTTTTTTTGAATCACAAGTTTTTAAACAAAAAAAGAATAAGTAAATTTAGGCTAACAAATGTCCTTTCTAATATACAAATAATTAACATTTAAATTGTTTGTTTAAATATATAATAAGCGGTCCACAATATTTAGCCATTGAATTTGATTCTTCTGGATAATTGCTTTTATTCTCACATCACTTCCTATTTTAAGCTATCTCTTTTGCTAAGTTGGTATCGTTTAGTCATTGGATGAAATTTCTTGCTGAATGATCACTAATTTTTGTGGCCTTCTTCTGAGCTTAATACTGATCTTGATTTCATAAGGAAGACTTAGTAATCCTTTCAAATAATTTATTTACTTTTACCTGATATATTATCTTACATAAGACTAATGATGGTATTCCTCAATTACATAATTAGCTTATTTTCATTTTAAGCTTATATCTAGTAAATATAATACTTTCTGGATTTAAAATGAAATCAGATTAGCTAATATAGAAAACTATAGAAATTATTCTAATTCTCAAAAGTACTGAGCTCTTTAAAATGAGATAACTATTTTGAAGTTTTCAAGGTAAGTCTCTTTTAAATCAAATGGACACAAAAATGCGATGGCAAAACATAATTTTAATAATCCTATGTCTACACTCAAAATCAATGGAAAAGAATGTCCCTAGGTTTTCCTAACCAAGGAAAAATTCTATACCTTTATCTCAGTCATAAAAGTAAGTGTAATTTTTTAAATTAATTACTTGGATAACAATTCAACCGTTTTCCACAAACCCTATAGTGGTAAGTACATTGGTAAACTATTTCAAGTAAAGCTATCTTTAGGCCAAATTAATAAAATCTGGCTTGGTACAATTTCTTTCGTCATATTATTTAGAAGTCAAAGTTCTCATTTTTTAAAATTGATATACGTAAAAATAGTAGGAGATAACAATACACCACTTAAAAATAAGGAGAATGGGTCTTGATTATAATTGCCCTCTAAGGTAGAAAGAGAAGTACCACTTTGATGAGACTTCCATGGAATCTATAGCAAAATAGATGGATGGTGCTTATCCTTTTCAAGTTTTATAATATAAATGTCTAACATGAAGTAATTCCTAATTATAAGACCCTAAACCTTGTAATGCCACCATCTATTCCATTTGGTGCTACCTGGATTCTACCCAGGTAGTGTTTCCCACTACAATTTATAAATGTCTTGGCTTTTTGAAAGTAGATACAAATGCTAAATCCAATATTGTCTCAGTGTGGAGCAACATTTGTTTTTCTGTTTAGATGCTGATTTTTTTTTAATGGCATACAGTGAAAAAGAGCCTTTTATTATTTTCTCTATGATAAAATTAAGTATTCCTAAAGGCATTACATTTATAGGTGAATATATAAAATTTGGCTGCTGAATCTATACATTATTGAAGACAAAGGAATACATGATTTTGAAGGAAATTATCAATTATGAAAATTTAAGTTATTATTATTACTAAAATGTATATAAAATAATGCTTGCAGAATATATTGCATTTAATTTGGTATAGTAACATATGGTAATGTTTTAATAGAATAATTTTATTGGATATGGCCTTTAAAATATTTTGTGTTCTTGTAATAACTATGGAATCCTACGCATGCAATTACATTATGAAATAATTGTCTTTCCGCTTTTCTTCGCTCAGCATTCTACCCCAAGAGACCTGCAGAGAGCATATGTGCTAAAATATAGGTGACCATCACTGAAAGGATTCTTAATTTTGTTGCACAATCTATTAGATAAATTTTTAAATAGCACTGGGTAAAAAATAAGCCAATGTCATTTGGAAGAAATTTTTTCAAAATTTAAAATGTAATTTTAAAAATAATAATTTTATCCTGTGGACAGTGAGAAAGAATTTGGCATAGATATATTGTGTTTAGAAAGTATACGGATGCAATGAAATTCCTTTAATGTACAGATGGAAGTTTATATTGATTTCAGTAAAGACCAGAACATAATGGTAACATGAATAACAGATAATAGCATCTGGCACTTTTAACATTTTAAGCCCTGAAATCTTTGGAGAACTGACAGTTGAATGGAACTGACAGCCCTAGTTATTTCTCAGCACTTTCCTTTCGAGATTTTTTGAGTTTTTTCCAGATTCAGGAATTTTTTTTTTTTAGGGGGCATCTGGACAGGCTATTTCACTGAGAGAGACAGACAATATTTTCTGAAAATTACCACCAAAATTAAGCAACTGTTGTGCATATGAACTAGATAACAATGAATTAGAAATAATCACTCCATTTCTGGTTGTGTGCATGAGTGTGTGTGTGTGTGTGTGTGTGTGTGTGTGTGTACGTATATGTGAGTGTCGTGTGGGATAGGGGTGGAGGTGCCAATGTCAAATCTGGAGCTGACCATCACCTGATCTTCAAACATTCACAGTCTGTTGCCTGGGCTAAGTGCAGCATCCAGGCGGAGCTCACCAGAAAAGACAGGAATGGACCAGTTCCTGTGACAGGTTTGTGTCGTTGTGTCCAGTAGATCAGGGTCAGGGCAAGTTTGGTTCTGCTGCCCTGAGAAGCACTATAAACCATTGTTAGGTCTCCCACGCCTCGCCAAGAACCATTTCTTTTTCATTTTCTTTTTCCCTTCCCTTTCTAGTTGTCCTCAATATTCCCTAGCTGCCACCACTTTTTGATGGGCGGTTTAAGATTTTCCTTCTTTCTGTTCTCTCCCTTCTCTTTTTTCATTTTAGTGAAGACCAGGCCCACTTCTTAATTTCTACATGACCAAGGACCAACAATTTAACCTCCTTGAGCCTCAATTTTTCTCCTCCCAAAACTTGGACAATAATCCTGCTTTTCATTCTGCTTTTGTTAGGACAAGAGACACTGTATAAAGATTGCTTACCTTTATTCTTACTGAACTCAGTGTCTCTCTTCACAATGAGGACATTGAATACAACCTATTTTTTTCAAATTAATAACTATCAAGTATCACAGTTCTCATTTATAAGATTCAGAACAGGGCAATAAGCAGTGTCTATTTGTAGATTACCTCAGCACAGACGAAAGCACAAAGAAGAAGGGGTGAGAAGCCGTCTTAGGAGTTACAGTGCTTCAGAAGCACTTTTGTGGGAGTGTGTCCCCATCAGGTATAGTTTCCCTCAGCAATGAATCACTCAGGGCCAGCTCACTGTGACAATAAAAATTAAGCTTAAAAAATATTTTGCCGGGACGCCTGAATGGCTCAGTTGGTTAAGCTTGGAACTCTTGATTTAGGCTCAGGGTGTGATCTCAGGGTGATGAGATCAAACCCAGCATGGGGCTCTGTGCTGGGTGTGGAGTTTGCTTAAGATTGTCTCTTTCCGATGAATGGATAAAGAAGATGTGGTCTATGTATACAATGGACCATGTATACTCAGCCACGAGAAACGACAAATACCCACCATTTGCTTCGACGTGGATGGACCTGGAGGGTATTATGCTGAGTGAAGTAAGTCAATCAGAGAAGGACAAACATTATATGGCCTAATTCATTTGGGGAATATATAAAAATTAGCGAAAAGGAATAAAGGGAAAGGAGAGAAAATGAGTGAAAATATCAGTGAGGGTGACAAAACATGAGAGACACCTAAATCTGGGAAATGAACAAGGGGTAGTGGAAGGGGAGGTGGGTGGGGGGTTGGGGTGACTGGGTGATGGGCACAGAGGGGGACACCTGGCGGGATGAGCACTGAGTGTTATGCTATATGTTGGCAAATTGAACCCCAATAAAAAAATTTTTAAAAAGATTGTCTCTTTCCCTCTCCCTCAACCCTCCCCCCTTTCAAACTCACTCATGCACACTTTCTCTAAAAATTTGTCAATCAAGCCTAGGGCAAGCACTTTGACTCTAAGAACTCACTTAACATCTTTAAAGTCCTCTTTTGGCAGTCTTAGTGACACTGAATCGCCACTTAACTTCTCCATTCCAGATTTCAGAATTCTTAGGTTGCAAACTTTAGCAGTGAAAGTCTGTACTGTCAGACTGGAAGTAAGTAAACCATTCTGAAAGGAGCAGAAATCTAATCTAAACAAATCCATTTTCCCCATGAATTTGCTGGGAAATAAAACACTGTCACAAATACATAAGCATTGGATAAGAACATCTTCCAGTTGAATCCATGAAGCTGCCAGGGTAAATCCAGATGTTTTTTGGAATTACACAAGAAAAAGAAGATTGGAAATAAAGATAAAATATTTGCTATGAGACCTAATTTTCTGGCTGTCTGAATGATAAGAGGTATAGCCAAGGAGGTTCTTGAGGTACTTACTAGACCTCCAAATGGGAGGAGTGTCTCAGAATATAAGAGTGCATTGTTAATACGGTTGCCAAGGCCAAAAATTATAACCAAGATCAAACAATACAAGAGACTGTGAATGAAAACAAAAACCCACTTGATGCAAATTTGCTTCATTACTACTCAGAACTGAATCAGTATGTCTGACATTGGAAGGAGATTTCTGGTGATTGACCATGGTCCATTAATAGCAGTCACAAGGGTGGGGACGGAAAGTCTGAGTCCCACCCTGCACATAACACTAAGATGCTACTGAACAAAAACAAGGTGGGTTTTATTCTAGTGGGATTCACCCAAGAATAGGGGCACAACTATGCCTACCTACTTTGTAAATACAGTCCTTCATGTGACTTGAGCCTTTTACTGAACCCCCATCAACAACAGATCTTTTAACTAGAATTAGGTTTCCTTTTGGTGGTGTAGGGTGGGATATGCCATGATCCCATCAACTATTGGACCAGCTGGAGATGAAGTAGTTTTATGAATGAGAGGGTATTCCTTTTCTCTAAAGCTCACTTCTATAGAGTGAGATTGAATCAACAATCTTGATCTCATTGAGATCGTGCTTCTCAATAACCTGCCACTGCTTCCTTACCTCCATTTCAGACCAATTGTGCAGAATGACCAGTTGATGTGATAATGATAGATTTACAGACTATAAAAATAAACAGAAGTTAGGTGTAACTGCTATTATTTTGCAGAAGTCCAAGATGGCCGGGGGTGGGGGGGCGCGGAGGGGAGGGATGGGGTAGAGCGAAGAGGTACATGTTCGTCTGTCTGTGGTCGTCGCTTAAGGTAAACCCACTTCTAATACTTTGCAGGTATTAGTTTTATAGTGATCAGAGTCAAACATACACAGTTTTTGGAAAAGGTTCTTTTAAAATTAGCTAAGACTATCCCCAAACACTTGAGGCAGATTTTGTAAAGCCAAGCAGAATAAAATGACTAAGACCAGCATGGAAGAATGTAATCAGAAATAGCTGTTGTGTGAGTTCCCCTCCCACTTCTACGTGATGCTGTGGGTGGTAGTGACTAAGAGTCTGCCTTGGATCCTAGGGGGTCCTCCAGGAACCCATCCCTGACCACTTTACATAGGGTTGGCATTTTTCTTCTTCAATGTGGGCCTGCTCGTGCTATTCCATTTGGTTCCCTGCCAGTGTTTCTACCATACTGAGCGTAGTTGTGGGGAAGGGGGACTTGTCCCATTTGGTGCTGCATCCTCAGGACCTGTGTTACTGCCTGGACATGGAAATGCCAGGAAACTGTGCTGAAGGGAGCAAGGAAAGAAGGGAGGGAGAAAGAAGATGGAAGGAAGGAAGGAAAAGAGGGTGGGAGGGAGAAAGAAGAGGGAAGGAGGAATGGGAATTGGAGAAACAACCCATCTTGTGATCACTACTGTTTATGTCAACTTATGCTCTGAGATGTTAAAGCATATACTAAAATCAAATTAGTTTCCCCACAAAAGTTTCTGAACTTCAAAAAGCTGAGGAAGGTGATGCACCCTTCCAAAGACAGGGGCTATTTTTTTTTCTTTAAACATATCAACCCACAAGGAATTTGGCATGATTTGTATTCATCCCTGATTTGATTTCATCTTCTACCGCTCAGAGTTAGTAAGTTGGCATTTCAGTGTTGAGTGACAGATTGCACCTTACAGACATCTAAAGGGATGGCTAATATAACCTCTCATGCAGTGCACACAATTGCAGCCCTGATGGGGATCAAGTTCACTGCAGTCACATCATTTTAGTGAAGTGACAGGAAAAGGTGGATTCATTTATCAGTTTCTGGTGAAATTTAAGATCATCACTTTACCAAAGTCTGAAACAAGGTACAGAATTATGTGATATCTAAACAGGAATACGAAAAGTAACGTAGGAGGAAAAAGCTGAGAATACTCTCCAATCACATTCTGTCTTAAACTTAGTGATCGACATATTGAAACAATACCTCTTTCTCCTCCTCTGTCTTCCCATGAGTTTTGCTATAGTTGATAGGAGTATCCCAGCCCTCTTGATCACAGAGAGCCTGATAGAATGCTGCATTGACCAAAATGCTGCTTGTTTTGAATGGGGAAGAGGAAGGAGTTGGAACAGAAGTGTTAGAGGAAGTTAGGGGTGCAGCTTTGTCCAGGATTCGATTTTTTTTCAGGCTTAAGTCCAATGTGCCATTTTCATCCACTTCTATCTCGGCTCCCTGGTATACAATAGGAAACAGAAAAACATTTAAGCAGTTTGCAGTTATAGCCTAGCCATGTGGGGCTTTTAAGGGATAATTTTAAATGCAAGCTTTTATGTAAGTATATCTGATTTAAAATCTAGCTTTCTGATTTGCTTTGGTTAATGTTCAATTCTTAGGCAGACTTTTAAGAGCAGCACCATTAGTGAGCTTTGTGTTTCTGGGTTTAAGCAAAGTAGAGCCTAATATAAATAAGATGCTCCAAATGCTAAATGTATTGACTAACCCTGTTTTATATATATATATATATATATATATATATATATATATATATATATATGTTGAAGTTTAGCTTTAAATCTCCTTCTCTGGCTTGCAGAATTATCACTCTCAATTCATCATTTATAGCATTAACACTTGAGTTTATAAAAAGGCACAACACTACTTCCCAGCTCACCCCCCCATTACAGTATTAATCTAACAGGAATATATGCAAAAATAACCAGCTGCAAGAGAATTTTTATTGGAATATTAGATTAATATGAATGTGACCTTTTCCCCTGGGTTACTTGAACCAGAAAAGCTTTGTTAGCTTGGTGGGGGAATGGGGTAGGGAGGCCGACGGGCAAACTGTTGTTGATTCTGGGGGCCTTTATGTAGCAAGCTGCCATCAGGACTGTTTGGGGTTAAGTTGGACAGTAAAACTTCAGAATAAATGTGATTATTTTCCAGACGCTTTGTATGAGACTTGAAACTCACTGTACCTTGCAGCATTTTCCTTGGGATATAGTTGGCTATCTCTTTGTGGTGGTGGTGGTGGTCTAAGGTACAAGTCCCAACACCTGCCCATGTGCTCTGGATCCTCCAAATGATACATGTGTAAGGACTGGCCCTGTGCTGCTGCCAACTGTGAACACTACCACATGATCACTCTCAGAGTGCAGGAAGAGCACTCTCGTCTTTTTCTTAAGTGGGCCAGATAAATACTCTCTGTATTTTCACTACCATCCATCAATTCACAATACAATCTTGGACAACGTCTCTGTTCTTTTTCCTCTTGGCTGGCAAAGCAGGAGTCTCTTTGAAAATGTGAGCAAGATCCCTTAGCGCACAGGGCAGCCAGTTACTTCCCTGGGGATTCATGTTAACTCCCCATTTACACTCTGCCTCCTTCTCCCAACACACACCCTTGAGGTGTGGACTGTGAGGCTGTGCTCCAAAGGATCACGGCTCGCACCTGATCCAGAAAATAAGGCGCGTCTTCTGTTTGCTTGTTTTACCTGTGAAGTTCCTCTTCTCAGTCTCTCAGCCTCTGAGGTAGATATGCTTTATTATATTTGTGGGAGGTAAATATACTTCTAATATGTTTGCACTAAGATGCTTTGGCTATATCTTTCTGTCCTTTTTAGCAAATAGTTTAATCTCCTGTGATAGTCCTAAGCCCTGAATTTGACAGTACAGCTTATCCGGGATAATGACTTAGTAACCACAACATCTTATGCCATCTGTATAATATCAAATACGTTTTTATACCAGCATTAATAAACCTTAGTTACAAAAATCCCAGATATTAACCATATCAGTGCCACGTTCTCTCTCTCCGTGCTGTGACAATGTATCCTGCCGTGAGCACATCAAAATAATTCTTGGCTTCATAAATGATATATAACTATAGCAATGAAACAGAGCTATAGTAATCAAGTTTAATGGCCAATGTAAAGTAAAATGCTAAATATTGTAGTTGCTGACATTTTTCATTAAAAAAAAAATAAAAAACTTGGGTTAAGACTGCACAACCAACATTCACATAAAATTCCAGACCTCTGTGACAGATGGCTTAGGAAAAAGAAGCCATGTGACTGGGCTGCAGAGTTTTATAGTGCAAAACCCATAAATAGTGCAGATTCGATCTCTCCGAAAAAAATATCAACTATTCCAAGACAACGCTAATATATATTTTAGTTTTTACAGGAAAAAATCCAAATAGTAAACAAAAAAATTAGAGATTATCAGAGTTGTTATGATTCTACATCTTGAGTAATCATGAGCTGATGGGGGAACAAAATCTCTCCTAATGTTTAAAAGAGGCGCTCTTGTATAGCCCGCACCCCAGCCGGCTGCTCTGAGTACCTGACTTGATAGGGAGAAAGCACGTTTGGGCAGCAGGGTACAGATGGGCTTTAAGTGAGCGCACAGATGCATTCAACAATTACACACAGTACCAGAGAAGGGTCCCTTTCTGCCCATAGATGGGTGGATCACACGTTTACTGCACGGATTTTTTATTCAGAGTTTTATCAATAGACATCACTTCTCTCTGAGCTTGAAACTCCAAATGGCAGCACACAAAGGAGGGGGTGGTGGGAGAGGCCACAGAAGCAGGAGGGCATAACATTCAGCCAACATGCACCCCCGTCGCCAACTTTGGGTATTCTGATTTCTAAAAGTGTCATTCGCCATTCTGGATCCTTATTTTAATCATTTAAATTTAAATTTAGAGGGCTTTTTTTGTTTTTGTTTTGAGGGTAGGCATAGGTCTTTCCAACTTAGGAGCAACATCAAGGACCATCACGTTCAGCCACTTTTAAGGTACAGGTGTCAATATATGGTGTATTTATTAATTAAATTATTGAAAAAAATACTTAATGTTTTCAAGCTTCCATATTTTGAGGAAAAGAAAATTTAAAAATATATTGTTCCTGCCTTCAAGGAGCTTAGGTTATACATAGAGGAGATTGTTAGTGAAAGGTAATTTAGTAAATATAATTATTTAATGGAAAGTTTAAATAATTATTCATTATATGATCCTTATCTGTACCGTAAAATGAGAAGTGATTTAAGATGTCCACCAACAGAGAAATGATTAATGAAATTATGCTGCATCTATTTAACGGCACATTATGCGACCAGTAAAATGATAATTATAAGGATTATGTGACAATAAGGAGAAGATGTCTATTACAGAAAGTAGGAAACAACCCATATTCCTATATGCTTACAACCAGTGGAAAAGGGTAGAAATTTGTGTCCTGAAGAACAAAAGGGAAAACACATAAGTTACTGTACTTGTATTTAGAAGACAGTCTTAAGGCTGGTATCATCCAAATGACAGCATGATAATGTTTTAACAATTAAAAATTATTCATTCAGACATAGTGATGAAATAAAGATACCTTTGCCTTAAAGTTCTGACTGTGAAAATTGTTGGCTTTCAAAACACAGATATAACAATACATCACTGTTTTCTGTAGATTGAGTTTTCTGTTAACACAAAAGGGGTCACCTGCCATCTTTTCCCCTTTGACTTGACTAACAGGAAGTGTACAAATTAAGTGTCCCTCAGTTTAGGTCTGCTGTAATCAGTTTCTTGGTTTTCCTCTTCTGACTCATGTTCTTTCACTTTTGCTTCAGGGTGCTTTGTCTGAGGAGTATCTTTTCTATATTGAAAGTTACCTGAAATATGTTTTCAAAGCAGGCAGGCTATTAACAATAAAAAAATGAATTAAATTATCTTATTCTTACCAAATAGTAATTGAGTATTAAAACAGTTAAGTTCAGAGTATAAACTTGTGAAATGTATTCAATATGAATGGAATAATGGAATTTCAGGGGAGAAATCAGTGTCTGACGTAAGATATGAATTTAAAATTAAATTTATGGGATGCCTGAGTGGCTCAGCGGTTGAGCGTCTGCCTTTGGCTCAGGTTGTAACCCTGGGGTCCTGAGATCGAGTTCCACATCAGGCTCCCTGCAGCCTGCCTGTGTGTCTGCTTCTCTCTCTCTCTCTGTGTGTCTCTCATGAATAAATAAATAAATAAATTTTTAAAAATTAAATTAAATTATAACTTTTTGCAAAAATCTTTGTCTGAGACTTGGAACCAAAGTCAGTGAAAATTCTTAAGTTGGCCAGCAGTCTATATAACACATGATGATAAGAACTTTAAGAACATAAGAAATTGGATAGGTATGAATTAAAATCTCAGTTCCAACAGTTAGAGCTATGCCAGTCAGAGAAAATTATTTAATATATACATACTACTATTTCTTCATCTGCTAACTGGGTTAATATCTTCTTTAAATAATTTCTGAAAGGATTAAAAAGAGTTAATATAAGCAAAGTGCTTATATAAAGTGCCTGGCACATAGTAGGTGTTCCATAAATGACAACAACAACAACAAAACAACAACAACAACAATAATAATTTGGTTGGCTTTTCAAATGCCAAAAGAGCCATTCCTATGCTACTGTATGCAGAGGTAAAGAGAATTATTAAATATATACACACGCATCAGTTGGTTCCTTGTGATCTCTGACCCAAGTTTCTCATTACATTTCACTCAGAATATACAGCATAATCTGACATGATATTAAAGTTACTGAAAAAAGCTGCTTTTGGATTCTAAGTATCCCAGGAGCCATTGGGATACTAGAATAGCCATACGGGCTATTTCTGATAACCAGCAGTGAGGATGCTGAAGTGTTATCATGTTGCTTCTAGGCCTTATTCAAGCACAAAACAGATTTTGAACTTTAAACATTTCAAGCAAGTGTCAGTTTTTTGTTTTCTTTTAAGGCACACTGTGCATATGCCACTTTGTCTAAACAGGTGGGGAAAACACCAAAACAAACAACAGAATGCTTGGCAAGCTGAAGTGATCAGGATAAAGATAGACCATGTGCCTGTTCCTACCTCTGTTCCTGAGGGTAGGAGGAAGGAAGGAAACAGAGAGTGTCTCCAACACGTGTTGGCATGTGCCTGTGCTCTCAGGGGCTGGAGGACACGCTCAGTCTGTGCCTGTTGCCTGTTTCTACCGAACGCTGTGCTCATAACAGCAGCAATGGTGGCCAGACAGGAGGCGGAGTGGTTGAAATTGTGGCCCACGAATGTTTTACAGACTCATATTAATTCCAAATTAAAATGAAGGACATTATATCAATCCTAGAACCAATGAAAGTACTAGTATCGAGAGAGGGCTCATACTTCAGACAAAATTACCCTTACTCATTATGATATCCACTAATATTGACATTACTAACTTTTTCTTCTGACCTGATTCCTCAAAGAGATACTGAAAGCAACATACAGGCGATTTTGGTGGTGTAGATGTGTTGTATACATGCTGGATTATATTTTAACAAATAATTCCTTTTAAGATCTATTTTCAGGATATAATGGACTTGTTTGGGCAGTGGTGAGAAATGTTAGCACTGATTTTCTCAACACAGTATCAGGAAAGGGTCCATGAAGGACGTGTTTTAGTGTTGGGTAGTGTTGGGGCTGGGAAAGTTCAGAAAAAGACTGTTGTGGGATATCTGTACTGTCATTGGTTTTAGGCTTTGTAGGAACTCAAAGTTCTCTCGTCTCTCTGAAGACAGCCTCTGCTGTTTTCCCATAAGAACAGGGATTTTGCAAATCATAAATTTAGATCTCCCATTAAACTCTAAACTCAGAGTCAGCGTACTGAAAGATCTGTATTAGCCCCAATATGTGGGAATGGAGGCAACTTCAAGGTTAGTATCCTCTGGCTTCATTTTTAAATGGTAGTGCCCACACGTGACAGCAGGATCTGTAATTTCTTCTCCTACTGGGCTCTTGAAGCAATGTCAGAGAAGCTCATTCCATCAATGAAAGGACTGCATGGAGGCTGAAGGAAAATGGGAAATCTGCCCTCATCCAAGTTTTGAGCAAAGCCACCCATGCCTCCCCTGGATGCTAGAAATGTCACTTCTGAAAATACAGCTCTCTACCTGGAACAACCATTTCTTTTTTTCTGCTTTGCCCACAAGCTCCTTGAAGGCAGGGTCTGTGGCTGGATCTAGTGGTTGTTTTGGGCAGTCCGACTCTCATAGACCATTTGGAGGGTGCCGACAAGAGTCCATCTGCCAGGATAACTCTCTAGTACATCAAAAAAAAAAAATACTTCTCAGCTAGAGAACTCAAGAGCAGAGAGAATCTGTACGTCTCTATATCCTTTCCAAAAAAGGAGCTCAAGAGATCTGTGGATTTTGGGTAGCAGACATAAACATACTGACCATCATGGAGGAAAAATCAAATCATAGTAGATAGAGAATCAGGCTAGTATTCCACAGGAGAAGATAGTTTATACTTAGTTAGTCCTATATTAAGTGGAGGGCAAGAAAGCAAAGTGCAACACTGAATAGAAATGGTCTAGATTGGGTACAATTTGATCAGAGGCCATTTTTTAGGGTTAATTGCTTCGGCTTTTTTCTCCTTTTTTTGCTACAATAATTAATTTTTGTGGTCTTGGGATTTTATGAGGTTCTATTTTATATTTAGAATGTACGATCCAAAGAGAACAGAATTCTGCAAATTGTTACAGTGTGTGGGAATGTGTGCCTGGAAGAAGGATTCTGCACACAGTAACACTGTAGGGTGCTGTATTTATCCTATTTTAACTACCACTATGTCAAGTGAGATAATTTTCATGGGAAAATGGCTTTTTAAACTGCTAATATAACGAACTCCTTCTAAAAGTCGATTGGTACACTGTCTGTCTCTTCCATCTTCATCATCACGTCAATGGTTTGGCTTCTGTAGTTAAGACTTGGGTTGGCTGTATGGAGGCCGAGACATGCAGTGCGGTTCCTGTCTCCCTGGGAAGGAGTATCCGCTCCATAGAGCAACCCTGGCACACAGAATGCTCCCAATAGGAGTGTAAGCATAGACTCAGAAGTCAGTTATTTGGATTTTTGGAATGTGCCAATTCAGCAGTCACGTTTCTGACCAGAAAGTATTCAAGAAAAGAACAAAACATGTATTGATAAGGGAAAATACCTTCAAATTTTGGTCATCTTTGTTTGATTCATTGTTTGGCTCCAGCAATTAAGTGAACATGGGGAATATAATGGTTAAGGGCAGAATTTCGAAAAATGAAAAAAAAAATTTACCTGTGCAGATGGAAACCACTCATTCCACAACCATTTACTCAAATAATTCAAGTGGCATTAATCATAATAATATTGGTCCTTTTATTCTCAAAGGACAGTCTTAACAAACGAATAATATAAGGCCTAAGAAGAAGATATTTTAGTATTTCTCCTACTAGCTGCATATTAGAATGTCCCTTTTAAAATATGGAATGTATTCAGGTTCTGAAACAAGAATAAGAATAAACTAAAGTAGCATTGTAAAGCACTCTAAATCATTCATTTAAGAAAATAATTTCTGACTTGAATTCCTTTGAATTTGGAGAGCTCAGTATTTTCTTTATAATTTTCAGAGGATACGTTTTTTCTTTGTTTAAGAACCTCATTTGTTTAAAAATTGTTTTTGAGTGGTTTTTGGCCACCAACTCTTCCTGGGGTTTACTTGGCTCGGATTTGTCCAGAAGCTAATTCTGATTCTTCTGTCAAATGCTCAATGGCACCGTGTTCCCTGCTCTCCTGAAGGCCTGGCACGGCACAGGTGAGCAGCTGACCACACCGGGGATGGGGCTGCGCTTACAGGGAAAAAGAGAGCGGTCTACTCTAATTGCCGGAGTTTCAGGGTTAGGGTTTAACCCAGGACACCTCCACTTAAAACAAGGGTAAAATCTCTTCTCCAGATACGCCTGGGCACTTTATTTCATCTGGTTTCAGCCTTCTAGGTAGGAAAATAATTTCTTTTAACTGAATACTTCGTGTAGATGGGAGTTACAGGCTCCAGCCGACTGCAAGAGCAGCTTTTACCCTCCCCCTGAGGATCTGAGGATTGCTGCTACTACTCTCTAGCCTGATAAACCCCTCCTCCTCAAAAGAGGAGACATGGAGGATCTTTGTTTTTTGCTGGCATCAAGGTATCATAAACGTGGATGTCTCCTTCTCATTGTTACAGAGGAGAGGTTATTAGAGAAATGTGATTAATTTCATGGGCCTCAGACATGTGGCATCTTCATACACTTCACCAAATTTGAGTTTGGATTTGAATGCCCTGAGTTCTCAAGTACCCCTGAGCCATCTCTTGTTAACTTAATGTATCCATGTTTTACTCTGTGTCCTTTGAGACTACTGTAGCAACTGAGACTACCTTACCTTATACAACAGTGATGTGTGCAACAATGACACCTCATTGTTGACACCTCATGAGTCAATTTTGCAACTGGTTTTCCAAGTCACTGTGTAGTCGAACGTTTCTTACCATCTTTGATTTACAGACAGCAAAATGCTTCAATTGTTTGGATTGATTTTAATGGCAAGCCTCTTTCTCGTGTTCCAAAGTCCCCAACACAAAGGTAGGTTTGATGTCTATAAATCTTCCCAACCAGGCTCCATAACTCACTTCTCCCCAGACTTTGGTACACTGCCTTCAAGAACAACACTCTTTCATTCCTACTTGCAGCCACAAAACCCATCCCTGTCAATGTGCCTCTGAGTCTCTTCCTAAGATGAGGAAGGGATGGGTTTTAGGGGTGGGGAGTGGCTGGAGTGGTAGTGAATATGGTTAGGAACATGAAAGGCAGTTTATTCTCACGGTTCAGTCACTGGCCCACCCTCCGGGCTCTTGGACTGGCCTACCTTGGCATGCAGACTCTGTGGTTTGTTGGAGAGGATGTCTGCAGCTTCCCTGCAGCGGGTGGAAAGGTTCAGGATGGCAGCAGCTGCTGCTATGTGGGTGTCTTCACTACATTGACCGTAGCTGTAAGAGCTGGCACGGCAAGGGCTCTGTGTGTGGGCGCCTGCACTAGGCAGTCGATTAGGAAATTTCCCTGGATTTGAAAAATGCTTTGCTGTTGAAGAGAGATTTGATTAGCAATTGCATATACGTGGCTTTAGTCATTAAATGGATTTGTTTTAAAGATATAACTTCTTGTGTTAAAATGTTAAGAATAAATTAAAACACGATCCATTATCTGTTGGTACACTCAATGCAAGTTATTCAGATTGGTTTTCACAGAAGTTCCCAGATCAGATGATATGATGGCTAGGAAAGAATGTCTGTTCTCTTAATATTTTTTGTACTTACACTTCTTATGGTAAAAACTCTATAACTAATGTTATGGGGCAGGTGCACTGGCAGCATCCATGGCAAAAATTATGGATTAAAACTACACTGGCAAAACCCATCAGGGATTACAGAGGCTTAAGGCTTAAACATCTATGAGCTGTGCATGTGTGAGGACCAGTGATTCCACTAGAGAAAAAAAAAAATACAGCCTTTCAGCATTTGTTTTCACAATAAAAATTTCTATTTATTTAGACATAGAATTGCATTTTTATTATTTGATATGCAGGTTTGTTTTGTGCTTAAACGAGTAGAAGTTGTTCTTAATGTCCAACTAGATGGAACTAAATAAATGGGGGACTCTTTAATGAGCTCCCATTTTGCATATTTAGGTAGAGCATGATAAGTAAAGGACAGAGAAAATGTTCTCAGGGTGAGCTGAAAGGCAATTTAGTTATCAAGGCTGAGTTTCTGTTTTCTGTTTCCATTGTGACAGCAAGGCATTACTGAGAGAGAGAATTAACCATATTTCTCTTCACTCTGGGTGTTTGTAAACATCACTCAAAGTTATGGGAGGAACACCCACAATTTAAGTGGGATAATAAAAAATCATTTATTTATTTTGCTTCAAATATCATTTCTTCTAAAGTTTGATCATTTTTCATGAAGTAATTTAAAAGATTACTAAATGTTATTCCTACAATTATAAAAATATAAAAATGCCACTGGACATTTTGCATTTTTAAACTAACATCTGTGTTATATGAATAGATAGGATGTTCTTAACTAGCTTCACTTGAATAAAAAACACATATGTGTGTGTATGCATGTGTGTATATTTTGCATATAAATATAATAGAAAACATTGTGCATGTGTGTGTATATTATTTTCCGAATCTAACAGGTTGTTTGTATTATTTATGTTGGCTGAGCCCTCTTTTTGGAAAGAATAGATAAAATATCTTTTGGAGTATACGGGCCAACTTCTTTCAAGTCTGTTTATCACTGCTGGGTTTCATATAGCATTCTAGTTCTTTGAAAACAGTGACCAGCATCACAGAATGAAGCACATACTCTGTGTTCCTAAAAGCACTCAGTCTAGGTGCCTACGTATGAAATCAAAGGGGTTCCATGGATTTGCATGTTGTAAAGAATCCATGGTCTATGTAGGACTCAAATTGAACCATTATTTTGGTTCTTTCCTTATGATACCATAATTCAGGTTTCCTGCTTGGGTTTATCCCAATATTTTCTTTCTTACCTTTTCATTAGAATAATCAAGGACTCTAAAACACTTGGAGAAATTGTATGTATTATAGCATCTTACAGTTATGATCTTCTACATGGATGTGTTACCATTAGAGCATTAACACATTTTAAATGATTCAGTACTAGTTCTTAACTATGTGGGTAAACATCTCTATAGTCACGCATATTGCGTCTATTGTAAAATCTTGATTTCTGAACTGTGAATTTCTTCTAAGATTTTTCACATTTTCTCTCTCTTTCAGTTTAAATGCTTTTTACTGATTTAAGCACTACTTTAAGTAGTGTTTCAATATTTTACCTCTTCAATTTCCATGATTTCAACATGAATCAAAATTACTGTATTGTGATGACTACTACAGTTTTCATCAACCCCAATCCTAGCTAAATGTGAATTAAATATTTCTTTGGAATTACTATATTTTGATTCAACAGTGGCATGATATTTGGAGAATAATTAACCCATTAACTATTCACCATATTCAGTGTTACTTCATGTACAATCAGTAATACTGATCATCTTACAATTGTTTTCCTTATTTTACTCCACCGTACAATGTATTTTCTCTCCTCCCTGTAGTATTCAGCGTATTCTGAATTTGGGCACCCCCACCTCCAAACACACATAAACAAGATGCATTCCTTGGAATGAGGATTAGAATTTGAAGCTTACATTCAGGAAATGGTGGTGTTTTTCGTCCTTGAACTGTTTGTACGAGGGGGCGTTTACCAAAAACCTGGGCATCGAAACTGGCATAGTCGAATGGTACTTTTCCAAACTTCTCTTGTTCTTTTGACACCATGGCTCTGGGAGAGGTGATGGCTTGTGATCGGAAATTGAATTCAATTTGTTTCACCAAGCTTGTCCTGAAGAAAGAGGGGAGAGTTCAAAAGAACTGTGATGAAACTCTTGGTGAGCATATTAGCATCAGAATTTAAAGCAGATCGGATGTGTCATGCCTGTCGGTACCCACAGAGACAGTGCACTATGGAAAAGAGCTGTGGTCACAGCATGATAAAGCAGAGTGCTCTGTGCCAAGATTGAGAAATGGAAGGCACCAAAAGCTCTGGAGGACTCTGACGAGGCTGCAGGTTGTGGGTCTGAGTCTCCCACGGGTAAAAGAGGAATGTGCAGTTTTGCATTCATTTTACGCAGATGCAATGAGTGGCAAGTACTTGACATCTGGTAGCACTTGGAGCACCACCTAGAAAAGTTCCGTGTAACCATCATTAGGGCACTAACAAGATGTGCACATTCTGTTTATTAAGACTGTTAATCAGATTGGTGATGAAAAGTGCTGATTATAGCTGGTGGGGAATGGCAGTGTGGTCAGCTCAGAGGAAGCAATGCTGGGCCCCGCTCTCCTTCAGCAATGCTGACAGATGCCTGCCACTTAGCAGGGGTAGTGTAGGCACCAGAAACTTGACTTCTGAATTGTGAGTTTCTTAGCCTTTTCACCTTTTTTTCCTTTTGTGTGTCTTTCTTGATGTAAGTAATACTTCAACATTTTATCTCTTAAATTGCCATCATTCTCTTATGGATCCAAAGTATTGTATTACAATAGCTATCACATTTTTCAATAGAACTACCTTAACCCAAGTTAAATGTGAATTAAATATTCCCTTAAAACTATTGTATTTGATACCCACCATTTGCTTCAATGTGGATGGAACTGGAGGGTATTATGCTGAGTGAAGTAAGTCAATCGGAGAAAGACAAACAGTGTATGTTCTCATTCATTTGGGGAATATGAATAATAGTGAAAGGGAATATAAGGGAAGGGAGAAGAAATGTGTGGGAAATATCAGAAAGGGACACAGAACATAAAGACTCCTAACTCTGGGAAACGAACTAGGGGTGGTGGAAGGGGAGGAGGGCGGGGGGTGGGGGTAAATGGGTGACTGGCACTGAGGGGGACACGTGACGGGATGAGCACTGGGTGTTATTCTGTATGTTGGTAAATTGAACACCAATAAAAATTAATTTATTAAAAAAAAAGAAAAAAAACTATTGTATTTGAATTACACAAGGGCATCATATTCGCAGAGCTTACAAACATGGGCTAATAGTAAATGAACATAAAAAATATACTTTTTAGAATTTAGCAATATCAAAAATACATATATGTTTTTCTTTTGTTTTCCACCAAAACATGCCTGACTCATCAGAACATCAAAGTTTCAATGATATTCCTTGGATTAGGTAAAAAACATCTTAGCTGCTACATAAAAATATTTGAGGAATGAGTTGATCCTATTATATATCACTTGGTTTATATCCCTAATATATCAGCATTGTAGTCTAAAACATATTTATTTTTTAAGAAATTAGCAAAATAAAAGTTAAGCTATTTCTATGTTTGGTAACTAACCTACTTAGGGAGAAACTAGAAGAGATGGCCATATTAACCAAGAACCTTATTGTAAGATTTTAAATTGCTAGTTATTCAGTAATTCATGATCTTTGCTTGTTCTTCACTCATGTGATTTTGACTGTTTTAATTAAATGTATAAGAGCAAATATTTAGGAAAACCATATCTTGAAAATACTCCTAATAAGTATGTTGCATTTCAGTGTCTCAATAACAATGAAGATCTGGTCACCTGTTTCAGTTCTTAAATCACTTTTCCTATATGTATGATTTTTTTATTAATAAATGCATAACATCACATTGTGTCATCACATGTAGTTTATTATTTAAGCATAAGTAAGGTCATCCAAACTGCTAGAGATTATGAAGTACCTGGGGCCAATAGGAGATATTTTATTAATACTTACCAATTCACGGAATGAATGTTTTAAAGAAATTATATGTATAGCTGGAACTGAAGAACGAACATATACCATCACATATTTTGGGTGGGTATGAGTGATTTATTAAGGCATTTTCTGCAGGCAGAAAGATTAATCAATCATAGGGAGAGCTTACCTGACTAGTGGGATGGGTTGCATTTAGTGACATGGAATTTTGATTAATATGTATTATATACTTTATTTCTTTGAGATTCATCCACATTATGTTACCTTTATATACAGATTGATTTCATGTTATACGTCTGCAGGGTCTAGCAGTTCATTTAAGTGAGAGAATGATTAACTGGACCAGCCTCTCAAATCCATAACTGGTAGTTGAGAACAAAGGTCGGACCATAGTGAACTGGCACAGGAGGGCAGCCAGACCCTCTGGTGTAAGGAGCATGGCATGGAATGCCAAGGGAGGGTCATACCTGTGAATCTGGTCAGGACACTGCCCGGTTTTGGGAGAATCAAGCTGATTTTTGTCCTGGGACATTGCCAATTTTTCAGCTGCAGCAATTGGACAACCAGAAAGACTGTTTTAAAAAATAAAAAGGGAGGACTTGAGTTAAAAAGGTAAAATAATTTGCTTTGGCATGTACCTCACAGCGTACTTGGCACACATTAAATGTTAAGTCATATTAGTAGTTCACTTAGCACCTTTCTCATACTAATAGATCCCAAAAGGGTTTTGCAAACTACTGTGTCAACATTTGCCCCTCAATCCCATCTCAGAAGTGAAACTCATTTTTAAGATCGGAAAATTATATGAGGGAATTATTCTGAAACTCTATAACGTTTTAAGTAGAATGAACTCACTCCAATTGCAATGTGCCCCATTAGAGATGTTAGCATGGTAATTCCATGATTTATCTTAAGATCTTTAGAAAAGTGTTAGGGACTTAATTTTAAATCAATTTAAATTTAAAATATAGAACACAAGGTTTTCTGGCAATATGCTTATGAGTCACATAGGATCTCGTGAGCACATAATAGATATAGTATAAAGTACACATAAAACAATAGGCATTTTTTCCAAAAATATTTACATACACACAATACATTTGTATGTAAGTGCATTTGTATGTATGTGTTTTAAGTGAGTAGTAAGCTCAATGTAATGAATCTCCATGAGATGAAATTATGTTTGCCTTCCTACCGGCTTATAGTCAGAACCACAGTAGATGGAAGCCCTTTTGGTACCTCATTAATACTTATTGGATGGGATCCAAGATAAACCCTACGCAACTCTCTTCAATGTCAAAAGAGCTATGGCGAGGTTCCAGAGCAAAAAAAGAACATTTTCTATTTCTATGACTATATGAATATATAACTCTAGTCTTCAAATAGAACATTTTTTGTTTGCATTATTGGCTGCTAAATAAAAATTTCTAGGAAAGTAAATTGTGTTTTTTTTTCACTCTGCACACACTGTAAATATTTCATCTCTCTTTCAAGTGGTAACATTCAATAGTGATCCAGAGATTTTGATAACACATTGTTAGTTCCTTATTTTCTTGGTGGAAAGTTTCTCTCACTTCTCTTTGTAAGTTGAAAGATGAGCATCCCATCACAATTACCTCCTGTGGGTGTTGCGGTTGCTGTTCACGTGCCCTCTTCCGGTGCATCCGGGGGTGGGACACTTGAGTACATTTTCATGCATGGCAAGAACTAAGCACAAAATATCACAAAAAGAAAGGAATAATAGGCTATAAGTATATAACACACTAACAAACTGACTTCTCCACTTTACATGCAAATTAATTTGGTTATATAATCTACCATTCTTCCTCCCACAGATATTTGGGTTGAAATAAATGAGTACTTAAGAACTTCAAAAATTAAATTCAGCGAGCTTGTTCAAGATTTGGTTTCTCTAAACTTCATGTCATGATCAATGCTAGACTTAAGTAAGACTATTCTGTTTCTATTTAACTTAAACTGAGAGGCTTATACCCTTCCTTTTATAGTTATGTGCTTTTCCGTGGAAGAGTGGATGGAGAACATTGTCAAGTAGTTCCTTCTATCTTTTCCTGAGGTGTGAACTCCTGAATAGAGTCTTCTTTATTTTCTAGGGGATATTACTTTGATTCTTGTCCATTGCTCCCCACTCCCCACTTCCCATTGCCATTCAGTTATCGGTGAAAGAGCATGGTTGGGTAAACAACCAGGTAATCAATCTGGGGAACTGCTAATCTTCTGGGACAGTGCTGAACAGATTAGATTCACTGATTTGCAAAACCGTGCTTTTGAGAAGAATGATGTTGAGGCGTTCCCACCACTGTAGTTTGTATGACCCAAAGGTGTTTCAATAAGGTTAAAAAAGTAGAGGATGTAGCACATCGAGACTTCAAAACTTGGAAGGCAGCCCTTTCCTTCTCCAGTTTCCTAGCTCACAGCAGAGCTGAGGGTAGAGAAGCCAGCCAATGTTTGCTGTTGCTCAGAGCTCTTTGCTACTGCAGGATGCCCTGGGGAGATGTGACAAGGAACCACAAGTTCCTACAAGGAATGGGAAGATAGGGAGTCAGGGGGCACTGGTGATGTGATGCACTTCTTCTTCTCTCTTTTTTAAGAAAGCCCCATGCTCAGCATGGAGCCCAGCTTGGAGTTTGAACTCACAACCTTGAGACCAAGACCCGAGCTGGGATCAACAGTTGGATGCTTAACCTATTGAGTGGGTGCCCCTGGGATGCACTTCTTATATTTAGATGATGAACTGAGGCTAAGACTGATCGTGGGCTTAAGGCAGCCATACCTCTGGGTGAGAAAGGACGGTACAATATATCAATCATGCAAAGGCATAGAAGACTTTCTGTCTTCTGATGCTTTGGCATCTGGGACCTTGCAAACCCTGGAAAGACTGCCCTTCAAAGAGCTTTTAAAGATAAATCAACCAATTATGGGTCTACACCCAACTGCCTCCTTTATTAGACTCACACTCACACTCCCCCCACCTGCCAGGTATCAGAAACCAATGGACAGCCCCCAAGCCTCACAGTGTACTGAGAGAATTAAAACTAGCCAGTCCTAAGTCTGCTTACTCTGCTCCTTCCCACAGAAACCATAAGTTCCCCTCCTCCCCTCCACCCTGATCACCCTGGTGTGGCATGCACCGTAGCCCTGCCTGGTGTGGCATGCAGTGTCCTCTCAGGAACTGTAACAGTCTTTTCAATGTCACTTGTCTCCTGATCTATTGGCCTGACTGCACCCCAAATTTTCTATTAATAAACTTATTTTAAACACCCAGCTAGATGGAAATTGCCTCAACACGGAAAGAAACTTTATTTCCATTCCGAATTCCACACTGGAGGAGAAAGAGGATAAATTGTGATGTTGTGGCACAAATAAGAGGAAGCCTACTTGTTTTAGGGATAAGTAGTACTCACTTTCCAGGGGAACCCGCACTTTGTGGGGGCACCCCGAAAGGCTGCGGTGGTGGGGGTAGAGTCCTGTCACATGTCCCGTGCCATCGCACCCAGGGATAGGGCACTTGGTCTCCCTCTTTTCGGGCCTCGGTGAATCTAGAAAGAAATTAAATCAAGAGATTCATTTGGCTCTTCTTTCCCTTCCCATTCACTAGAGTGGCCTTGCAGAGTGACATTCTCACTTCACTCGGTTTTTACATCATAGACATTCTTCTCACATTGCCTTGAATAAGACCCTCAACTAAGACCTGTGGAAGCATAAAAAATGTTTTCAATTTTCTTGGTTTTCTAAGCAAAGGCTGACACAGGGCAAGGGAGTGTTAAAATACAGAGATGGTTTTAAGTTGTCATGTCACATATTATAGTTACAGTCTCAATGTGAAAAATGAATCCTACTCCAGAGGCAGAGGATGCACCCGAAAGGGGGAAAAAAAAAAAGAAGTGAGAAAGAAGAAAGCATATATTCAACCCAAAACTATCTCTGAAAAGAGTCTCAAAAAAAAAAAAAAAAAAGCTAGATTCTAAATGATAAAACAAAGAAACCACCATATTCGAGAAGGGCTGCTCTGTTCTTATCCCTGTGGATCCCCAGCCTCACGTGGCCCTAAGGTCACAGGTCTACGTAGCTGCTCCCATGCACGTGCAGGGCCTGCTTTGGCCAGAGTCAGGAAGGGGAGTCAACAATGCTATCTTGTGCCATGCCCAAGATCCCCAAACCCAGTGCTTTGCTACTTCGGATCAATATGGAGCAGCTATTGAGAAGAAGCTTTCATTTTACTCTGAATGCAGAAACTGAAAACTCAGGCAATAGGAAGACAGCCTGGCAAGGAAATATTTTAGGCAGAATGGAAACACAGAGTGGAGGCAGCCTTGAGTGGTCGGTACCGCCAAGCACATTGGGACATGGGGAAGGCACCACAGGTTCCACTAGTCAGAGAGAAGGGAAACCTGGTAACACCACTTGTCAGGCTGCCATGGGGCATTGGCCTAAAGAGGGAGGGTGGAGGATGAGCTGGGGGTTTTAATCTTCCTGTGCATATTTTGGTGAGGGTTACATAAAAGGCTATATAAATACGTAAAATAATTGAGGATTATCATGAATATTGATGGGGTTGGAGCTAACATAGGAGAGGCCTTCTGTAGACATTTCCATATTCATGACTCAGATAGTAGGTAAACTTAAAACAGAAATGCATTTTTTGGAACCCAAATCACCCCCTAACTTGGGCATGGAATGATGTACCCAGCTAGGTGGAAATCACTGGGACAAGCTTGTCACTCAGCATTCCTAATGGTCAGAGGAACCAGAATCACAATGGGAGGGAGCCTCAGAGAAAGGACCAGTGTGGAATGGAGGCTGGCTGCAGGCTTCTCAGAACACGAAGTATCATGAATAATGAATCCACTTGATGCTGAGAGTGAAAATAAATAATCTGTGTGCTCCTGCCATAGGAAAGCTGCCGGCAGTGGAATAGGGGGCAGAGTCCTGCAGCGTGAGGCTGTGGAGGCCCCATATCATATGCTCCTGCTCCAAGCATGGTACTGAGAGAAGAGCAATGTCGCGGATGCGACAGCCGTCTCTAGGGCGGGATATTGCAATGAGTAGACATGCCTCTGTGATATCGTGCCACCCTAGTTGTTGGATTATAAATGGTCCTGAGCAGATGGGCACAGCAGGTTGTATGTAATGCAATTATTTGGGGGCATGCTTTCAGTGAAGGGGGAGGAGCCAAGGATCCTTCAAGTTATGCACACTCTGCCTGGGAGGGGGTGGTCAGCATGAGAAAACTGGAAATTGTATGTGATAGATGAACAGCTCAAAGATTGGGATGCCTCGAGTGGCAGACACTTATGTTTCATGAGACACAGGATTTAAATGCCATAGTGTTGAGACTGTTCTCTGTCTTTTGCAAGAAACAAAGAGGCATATAAGAGTTTTTACTTATTCTATGATTTTGTGGATACGTATTTTACTTAATCCAAAAATGTTGCCAAATTTGAAGTTGTTTTAGGCCTATAATATCTGTTGATGGAGAGTCAAAAATCCTTGAAGTTTGACTGAAGTGACACTAAAGGGGGTTGACACTGTATAGGAGAGAGAATAGGAGGAGAAGCAATGTGGATTTTGATACCCTTCCTTCCTTGGACCTGGTCCAGATGAGGCCACATTTCTAAACCACATTGAAAGGTTTGGCGCCGCGCATTTCCCCTCCTTGCCACATTATTTGTCTATAGGAAGCCAGAGAGGGTGTGGGAGATAAGGCAGGGCTGGCACCTGACCAGGTGTGGTCCACTGACAGTCCATCATGCACGTTTGTCTGCAAGCCTCCTCTGCTGGGTGAAACAGATGCCATGAAATGCTCTGTGGGGCAGAACCTGTTTGCATGATAAGAAGCCAGAGCTTGAGCTCTCAGGTGACTCTTAGGCCTGGCTCTTCCCCTTTTGTTTTCTTTGCTGAATGCTGCATAATGAGGGTGACCTTATACTCTGGTGACCTTACATCCCTGTTTGCCTGGGACTGTCTCATTCATACCTGATATACTCATGTGGTTCTTCATAGCACTCCTCTTCACTCTGAAAGTGTCTTAGCCTGTACAGTAAATTCTATGGTGACTCTATACACATTGCGACCTAAAGTCTCACTAAATGCTTAGTAGCAATTTTAATTTTAGAATTGCTGACTCATTGATGGCTTGGGTAAAATGGTATTTTAAAATGCTAGTCCTCTGTCCTTTAACAGTGGGGTTGCATGCCCAAGGTATATGAGAAATTAGGAAGGTATTGTGGAGAGCATGAATGTCAGTTGGTACGAGTATTGGCCTAAGAACATGGAACGCACACCAGAGGAAGAAGCATCTCTTAAGCCACTGGCTCCCACATCTAGAATAAAGAACAGGAAAGTGAATATCTAATTTGGACTCTGCAAGTATCCTCTAGATGAACCCTATAGTTTCCATGCATTATGGGCTTTACCTCTTTTTCCCTCTGTTTGATACTAGTCTGATCTGGATCTTCTTGCATAGGCTTTGAACACCCCAAGGCAGGATCATGCTTCCCACAATAGGATATACTATTGAATTAGCCAGAGTCATTAATAATTCTCTAAATCTTATATGACCCATGTTTACAAACACAGATTCTATTGCCTTCTTAGTTTTTGAAAACAAAACTTGTTAAGTTCTATAAAAATGGCCAAAGGATTGTCAAATATTTTAAGCTATGGCACAAAAAAAATCTCTCCAAACACCGAATTTCATTGGCTGGAAGATATCATCAGTTGAATCATGCAACATCATTTTGGGTGTTAGTAAGAAAGAAAAAAAATATTGAAAATTAAAGTATGGCACACACTTCTAATTTCAGAGATTTTAAAATGAGAAAACAGTATATAAATATGAATGAAATATAGTAGATGGCAAATTATGACCTTTTGGAATTTGAAGTCAATTTTATCTAAGTTTTTGATTCTGTAGTCCTTAAGAAAAAATAAAAAAAACATGCACACAGGTAAGTTAAGCAAGTTGCATATTAGTGGAGTGCACAAAGCTGGTAGTGGGTCCTGTCCCAAACCACACATTGTTAATTGATACTCTGTCCCAAACCCAACCCTGGCAGTAAGTTTGTATAGTATTACTATCTTGCTTCTCACTATGTGACATTATTTTATTTATTTTTCGTTTGTTTATTTTCTCAGTTCTGAGCTGCAGGATAATAATTGACAAGATTGCAGGTGAGTACTAAAATAGACTCAAGATGACAAAATTTACAATTCATTTCTGCATAAATCTCAGCAAGCAGATCATCCAAACCATAACTCACATATTATTCTTGCAAGCTCCTAGGGGCCATGACCTTGATTTTCTCTAAGATATTCCTAATTCTATGGTTCTTTAAGACTTTGAGGCACCCAATAAATATCTAAAAAACACACTTAAAAAATGCAAGTTCTGGAGCAGTAAGTATGATAAGATCTGGGAAATACCAATCTTAAGCCTTCTAGGTACTTGAGAACCACCATTTGGGAATTATCACCAGGTCCATCTGGTGCAAGACTCAGGGTGGAGGGGCAGGGGGAGTAGCTTTATGGGAGATGAGACACAACTTCCTTAAAGTTGAGGAGCAGTTTTCAGGTCTCCTCCAAGCACATTTATTCTTCTTATTCATAAGAAGGCCCACGTATTTGTGGCCTTGAGTTACAAACCTCGTAAAAGCATAGGGTTATTAAAGTAGTAACCTCCAGTTTTATCCTAAGAGGGTTCAGAGCATCCTGTCTGACTTGCCAGTAGCTTGCCATTATTTTGAAGCTCCAAAGGTGCTAGATGATCCCATAAAGAAAGTAGGAAGGAAAAATTAAATTTCTAGAATTGGTTTGATTGACAAAATGGTTTAAAATCCAAAAAGTAAAAATGTACTTCTAACATGTCCAATATAGTACTGTACAAGTAGTATATATTTTTTAAAAGTTGTCAAATTAAGAGAAAAAGAGGCAATGATTCTTATTTTGTGTGCAAAATCATTGCAAAACTGACCAAGCTTGATCTGAGAATAATCTAGACAGCAGAGAAAAAAAGAAATTGTTTATTTTATAATATGAACTGGTTTTTAATTTGCATCAAGTTGTCAAAAGCTATCTGGAAGTGGTAATCAAATCTTACTAATTTTTCTTCCAACCCTTAAAGCAATTTTATTCCTAAAATAAATGCAAAAAATGCGCCTTACGTTTATTGTTAAAGATTTGTCTTCCACCCATGTCAATAACTTTGGTTTGCCTCCGTTCCCCAGCAAGGTGTTCCAGTAGAAACCTGTCCAACTCTTTGTAAGTGTTATGGAAAACACAACCTCGCTCAGCCTGGAGAGCAATTGCCTGCTCCAGCAAACTCAAGTTCCCCTTCGCTTTCTCCAGGTCAACAGACTCTTCTGTCATAGCTGCCAGACACTCATTATTCTCTTCCTCCATCCCAGAGAAAGAGAGCTGGGCTTTGCCATCCAGAGGTTCCACGTGTGCATTCTGTGGGTCTCTCCTTTCGGTTTCAGAATCACACATGTTTTCACAAGAGATAAATTTGTCACCTTCAGTTTTTATTTCAGGAACTTCCAATAGGTCTTTCCTATTATCCACTAAAATATACTTTGGGACCCTGTGTGGTTTGGTTTCTTCTGAGAAGTTGGAGCCACTGTCCCAACCATTCTCTGCACTTTCAGAGTTACTTTCACTGTCATCTGAGGAGCAGAACTGAAGCTGGGAATCATCAATTTTTTCTTTTCCATCATCAGAATGAATCAAAAAGCACTCATCAGCTTCATCACTCTCTGCTTTTAGAGACTGGATGCCACTGTCATTTAAATTCTCACTTATAGTCTGAACAGACACATTTTTTTCAAATTTTCCCAAGTGCATTAAAGATTTGACCACGAGCTCTTGATAGCAGCCATATCTGTCTTCCTTCCCATTGGAGTTTTCTTGTGCAGTCGAATGAAGGTTCTCATCCATAGGTTTTATCATGATTTCCTCTATAGAAAAAGAAAGCCAATAATTAAAAAAATGTAAAAAAATATTTTATGAAAATTGCACCAATATGTAGATGAGAGATGGATTGATATAGATATACGTATACAATAAGTACAATATGCAAATATGTGGGCTCTATCAATTTTATAAACACCAAAGAAAAAAATATATATCTTCTTAAAATGAAACAAAACAAAACAGACCTTTATATTCAGAGAATTGCATTTAAAGAAGTGAGCTAGTAGACTTTTCAGCATATTAAGAGCTAATTGTTTCCAGAGTGCTGAAATAGATACTTAACAATAACAGAATGCTGATTGTGAAATTGTTGTTACTGTACCTCTCATATTTGCAAATCCTAGCCAACCAGAAGGAAATCAAATATGCATAATACTACACATTATAAAGGAAACATTCATCAGATTTCTCTGCTAGCATGGCAATGTATTTTCAAAGCTTATTTGGTTTATGTTCTCTACCTCCACAGTTTCTCACACATACTTTCAGATTTTATGGAATGTTAGCTAAAAGACAAAATACATCCACATACAGATGATAACTAAAAGAGTTATGAAGCTTCCAAGGCTTCCTGTTCACTTTCACAACTGTCACATAGAAATTCCATGCCAAGGGAAATACAAGTAAATGGGAGATTTAGCATGATCAAATATCTTTATTTTAAAAGGATTATTTATTTATTTATTTATTTATTTATTTATTTATTTATTTGAGAGAGAGAAGGGAGGGCGGGGGAGGCAGAAGGAGAGAATCTCCAGCAGACTCTGTGCTGAGTGCAGAGCCTGACACAGGGCTTGATCTCATGACCCTGAGCTAAAATCAAGAGTTGGACGCTTAACTGACTGAGCCATGCAGGCGCCCCAGCATGATCAAATATCTTAAATGGTGACATATTTTCTGGCCTGGTACTTGCATGCATTTGTGTAAGAGGGCAATGAGATGAGAGATGGAGATGGTTGGAGTACATGGAACGTTAATTAATTGTTTTCAGTAGTGGGCCTACTGAAGTCTTGACAGTCAAAGAGCCCTATGACTATGAACAGGTCTCCATATGCTAGTCTGTCCAGGACAGTCCACTGGATCTCTGTTGTCCCAATCCAGTTGTTAGTGTTAACCCTGTTACTCTTGGCAGTGGCCCAGCTGCAGTGAGTGATAGTATGTGTGTATATAGTCATATGTATACATATGTATGTATATATATGTGTGTGTGTGTATGTATACATGCATATGCATATACCCACATAAATGTGTGTGTATTATATATCCCTATCCCAATGCAAACACAACAATTAAGGGTGCAGATTTACTAGTTGACCTACTCCTGGTTTAGCATACAAGGTAGTATGGGGAGCAAGGCACCCAGAACACACGCGGCTGTGAAATGCACCAGACAACTAAGGAATGGTCCCCTGATATTCACTAAGACCAAAAAAAAAAAAAAAAAAAAAAATGGAGAGAGAGAGAGAAGAAAGAAAAGAAAGAAGAAGCAGGACCATTTCTGTGTCTCTGAAGGCTGAGTGGGGGATGGGCAACACAAAATAATAAGCCCCCTTAAAGACTGTGAAAGACACAAGTGAAGTGCATTCTGTGCTAATAAACATCTTTGGAGGGAAGAAAAGGACAGCCATCCCATGTGATGGCTGCAGGAGAGGGTGTCTGTGCAGAAGACAATGTGCCTTTTTTAGTCTCATTTAATTTTTTATAAACATTGTCTCTGACAAGGACACTCAAAAATACATCTCCATCATCTTCCTTTCTGGTAATTATCTCCCTAAATCAACACTGGACTGCCAGGATCAAGTAAATATTGCCATAGTAACTAAAAGCATTTTTGGATGAAGGGAAGAATTTAGTCACAACACTAGCCCCTTTAAATAATGCTGATTATAGGGTGCAGTCTTTTGTTGGGATCTATTCAACATAAACTGAAAAATTTAACATTTTACTTCCTAGAAAATAAGCTGGATAAACAAGCACATCATATTTGATAGGATGGTCTATTCCCTTCTGAATTCATATCAGAGGAATTCCAGGTTTAAATAATATATTAAACATAGTCTAAAATGCAAATGAAGTTTTTCTCAATATCACAGTTGGCTATTAGGAGAAAGTGTAAAGGGTTATGATAATTTTAAAGTATTATGAACTACAGAAAACAAATAAAAAGCATTTTCAGTGAATATGCTCAATTCATTGAACTATTCTCTCACTCCACTTAACTACCCACATGTGTACAATAATGATTTATAGACATTATACCTAATTATGCATATTTGGGCTGTGTTAGAGTGCTAACAAAAGCTCTAGAAAGCAACAATTACCTCTGTTGCTTAGCTACATAGTTTAAAATATTCCTATTAAGTGCAGATCACCAGAGAGGCGGGAGTGACAAAAACGCACATGTGCACGACAATGCGTTTCACTGTGCTGCTGCCAACTGCTAGCATTTTGGGTCATTTCCAGTTTACATAATTGTTTGGTTCAACTGTTTGTTATATGCTAAAAGAAAATATTTATTAATTATTCTTCAGAAAGAGAGGAGTCCTGCCGATAGAGGTGCCTACGTGTATCACACGCGATGGTTTCCAGGAATGTTCCACAAATTTGCAAACCAACTTTCCATATACCCACCCCTCTCTGGCTTTCACTATCATTATTAAAAAAAAAAAAAGTTGAGTTAGCTTTTGAACCTGACAGATCTGTGACGAGGTTCTTTTTTCTCTTTGCTTTATAATGGGCTGCCTACCTTTTTACATTAGTGTGTTTTTATTTTCATCGGTGGCCCAGTGATTCATTCACTGACATACCTTTGTCAGTGAAATAACTAACCTGGTTTTGATTCTGGGCTTGTAAGCTCAAGTCTGTGCAAACCTCAAGGCATCCTTGACCTTTCTGAACCCCATGTCCTCACTCACAGTTAGGCACACTGCAGAGTCTACATGGGAACACGCACAAAGCAGAAGCCACACAACAGGTGTTCAGTAAATGATGGCTGTCTTCTCCCTTCCCCAGATACAACTTCAGATGACAGTAACAGCAGAGAATACATGGGACCCTCCACACAAATAAGATGAAACTGATCCCTGAGAACAGGCACAGTCAGTCCACAGTGTGAAAGAGACTGAACCAGTTTAGCACCCATGTCACATATGCTATGGAATTGCTATTCTGAAGGTAATTACCTTCAGAAACTGGAGTTTCAATGCACAATGCACAACATGGAGGCAAAACCACTACGATTTTGAGGTCCAGAGACTGGCGCTGAGCTGCTGGCCCGGCAACACCTGCCTGTGTGACCTTGGGGCAGGCCTGCATCTCTTGAGTCCTAGGTCCTCATCTTTTAAATGAGGAAGATCCAGTGACATCCTAGAACAATAAACTGTTATGTTCCTGGCATGGTATTCCTTACTGCACTTAATCTTTACAGTAACAACAAGAAAGAGACTTTCTACTCCATTTTATAGAAGGGAAACTATTTCCTAAGGGGCTAGGAGATCAAGATCACAGCTAGCCAGTGGTGGAGGGGGTGGGGGTGGAGGGGCTGAGATCCAGACCCAGGGCCACGGTTTCCTGACCCTATGCCCATCCTTCTGCACAAAGCTATCCCAGATCCCACAGCCCAGGAAGGTCATATGTCTCTACTGATGTTTACAAAACACAGCAACTCTTAGAAGAAACTGTTCAGAATACTAATAGTCTATTATTTTCCCAAGTTCAGATACTTTCAAGAGTGAAATTATAAGAAGATACTAAAATGCAATTGTCATTTGACTTTCAATCAAAATCAATAACTCCTAAATTATAAATAAGATATGTAAAAATGAATAAACAGCAATAACAAGACAAAACCTAACAGGTAACCACACCTTGGCTTTCTCAGTACAACAGTGTAGGTCAGAAAATTCCTAAGGCACACTCCCCTGGAGCAGTCAGAGAGTTGGAGTTTACCTAGCACACCCCTTCCTCTTCCTGAAAACATTTCAAAGTGTGGACCAGGAGGAGAGGCTGGAGCTGGATGACACCTTCTATAACATAGAGTAAAATAATAAATGTTTTTGCTGGGTATGAAAAAGTTCCTATTTATTTATTCGCTTAAAACCAAAGTCTCTACTCCAAGGGGTCTGGTAATCCTAGAAAGTATATGCTAATGGATTCCCACATTATGTATCAGCTGTTCTGCTCAAAACAACTTTAAAAATTCCTCTGAAAATCACAAGTTTTGAGTTTGACTCCTTTAATATAACTGGATTTTATTACAATTGGATTTTAGTTCTGTTTCTGAAACTATCAAAATCACTTGTATAGATAAACTAGTTTTCCAGGTCTCTTGAATATGTAAATCTTGCTGGGAATAAAAGCACTGGAAAAAATGAATTTATCTCTCAAAGTTCTAAAACCAGTGTGGCTTATCCCTTATTTGCGTTTTGTTGAGAGATGTGTTAAAATGATCATCTCAGCCCCTAGAGTGACAGATACCCCTGAGTCAAGAGCATGAGCTTAGAAACTGAGGAGGGACTCCATACATTTGGCTAATCTCACTTCTCGGTAACCCGTCTTTTCCTTGTCTGTGTTGGGAAAGCCTGAGCTTGTCCTACCTTCTGCTAGTACTTTGCAAGCTTGTATTCTGTTTGCCCCAGTGAAGAAGGTGTTATCTGTGTGTTTTTGTCTACTTTCTCTTCTATCACCATTAATGCCCACCTGCAGTTCTTTGAAAAACAGCTACTTAAGGGTATGAGACATAGTTTTGCCATTAAATGAATTCAACTGTCCTATCTACTTTCTAAAGGTAGTCAGAGCATGGATGATTGGATTATGGAGCACGGTTAGCTGGGAAATAATTATTTTGCTTATCCTTCAATTGTGTCCTAATTATCTTCTTTTCAACACCTACAAGCTGCATTACCTTAAGCATTAAATCTCTTTGGTCTTCAATGATCTCATCTGTAAAATTGGGACCATAATCATGCATACCTCATGTCATTGTTGGGTGGATTAAATGATATAATTTATGTGCCTGGAATATATTAAGAATTCAAAAATAATGGCACTACCACTATAATTTCAGCACATTCATTATTAGCAGTGCTTCCAGTGCTAAATATAAAAATAGATAACATTTGTGAACCTGCAAATAGATGTCCATCAGTGTTTGTAACTGAATGTTTCACTGAGTACATCTTGACAGTATATTTTCTTGGTTGATATTAAGCATCTACGATCATCACATGACTAACATAAAAGGCAGGAGGTCCAAAAAAAAGGCAGGAGGTCCAGTGGGCAGATACAGTCCTTGTCCTTAAGGCACTTACAAGAATGTGTTGGTGTAAAAAGATGCCCATATAAAAAAATACCCAGTGAATTAATGTCAACCAGGTGAATTATGCCTCAAGTCTAACCACATCAATTCAAGGGCCTTCCCTAATACTATATTCAAACTGCAATTTTCATAAATCCACAAAAATGACCAGCTCAAGGAAACAAAAACAGTCAAGGATGATTATAATTTACAGATAAGCTTTAAGCCATATGGTAAATTCAGAAAAGCCAGGACATTTGCTTAAACACTGTCAAATCAGCATACAACTTTGTTTTCACTACAGAATCTCAACTTACTTGCAAGCCAAGATTACTGAAGATCTAACGGTTGGGCTCTGACATTTGTGTTCAGTCAGTGAGTATGCTTTTGTATCTTTTCTAGTAATTCCTATTGCTGTTACTCTAATTCTGTCTATAATAGATATTTATAATCTAAGAGCTCTTTGCCTTTGGTTTATTATACATACTTCTTTTCAAATAACATCTTATTTAGTATGTTTTAATTCCTTAAAAAGTCACATTCAGAAAATAACTATTTCATAGAATAGATGTACACCTCATTTCATTTTCTAATCAGTCCAGCTTTTGATTTCCATTTTTTTCATAAATTTTTTAGATATTTTGCATATCCTTCAATTTCAGCCTCATGCACAAAGTAGTTGGTGATGGTCCAACTCCTGGAGGCACTATGACTACCATGAATCTAATAGGAGAAACTGTAGACTGGGGAGAAACACATCCTAAAATTTCAAAGTAGTAACTACATATCACTTAGCATGCAAACAGTATTTCATGAGTGAGTGAAGAATCGAATTCATGAAATATAATGTGTGCCTAAAGGTAATCGAAAATCATTTGTCTCAGAACTAATGGGCACAGTGATGCATTTTCTATAACACATCATTTTCCTACTGAAGAAGACACTAGGGTGCCAACTTCAGGTCCCTTCTGCTAAGTCCATTTCTATAAGCATTTATATTAAAAATGGTGAAAAGATTAAGGTCACAAGCCATCTGCATTAGTCTGTGTTGCTATTATCAATTATATTTTTTTGGGGGGGGCAAATAACACTCTGTTTATAAAACAAAAAATCAAATGCCTTATTTATATATGTCATACCTGAGATACCTTAAGCTTAAATATATCCTTTCATTTTTAGGGGTTCTTTCAGGGATAGACATCCATCCTATTAGGGAGTCAAGGTACTCTTTAACTTTAAGGCTTAGTATCTTTCATTTTCTTCAAAAAGAGGCACAGTCCAATTCTGTGCTTTTGAAAATGAACTCAGGCAAGGACTCTGTCCACAGCTTATATTTAGACTCTCTGCAGTTACTGATTTAAAAAAAAATTGGTTCTTGGGAAATGGATGCTGAGTGAAATAAATGTTTGATTTTGCTTCCAAATGACAATTTGCTTCTACAGCACACGGACTATATATCCTAAAGACTGAGGATTTGGTGTCAGGAAGTAGATAAAGTTTGTGCCACACCCGCTTGCTACCTGTGGCAGTGTGATCACTGGCTTCTGCGAAGCCATCTTCCTCCTCCACCTGGGTCCTGTCATCACATTCTTCTCTGCAGTCCAGGTTTGGGCTGTAGTGTCGGGGCTTCATTAGCAGTGATTTTCTCTTGTTGACTGGGACACCCAAAGCCTGCTCTGCAGCTCTCCTCTTCTTCGCCATGGAGCAATCATATGCAGCACTGCAGTGATTGAGGCAAATTAAGAACATGGAGACTTTACTGCTACTTGTCATTTGATTTCCATGAAGTATAACCCAAAGCCTGTGGACCTAGGACTAAAGGTTTAGGGTGAGTTGTTGGCACTAACGAAAACAGCCCATCCATTGAATCTACTGAACTGTGTGGATTCTATTTTACTGCCTATCAGAAGAGTTAAAAAAAAAAATTCATCCTTAATCCTGAGTAAGCATATGTTAATCTGTGCTTTGCTTGGCACTACATTAAATACCCAGGGAGGGATGAAACAAGATTTGCACTGGTTTGCTAATCCTAAGAAACAGCTAATGTGAAAAATATACCACCAGACACAAAAACACGTGTCCAGTATGGGTAAATCACAAGGTTTTACAAATAGTTGTTTGCTACCCAAACTGCTTATCTCTGCCACAGTTGCACATCAAACTTGAGATGCCACATCCTGAGCTTTGACCTGAAAAAGAAAAGCATAAAAGGAGGGGCAAGCTGGGAACATTATGTCAGCCCATATCCAGTCACACACACACACACACACACACACACACACACACACACACACACAAAATTAAAAAGGTGAAAAGATGCTACCTGGCATCCTGCCTTCTGATTCTCACACATTTGGCACACAGAACAAACAAATAAAAGGAGGAGAAATAAGATTGGATTTCATAAAAATGGACAACAGTTTATCCTTACTCCTGTCCTCATATGATTTTATTTGGAAATACTCCTGAGGGCGGCCTTTTCAAAGCAGATTTCCTACATAGAGCTCACTCAGAATTAATGCAGATCCTGAAGTTAAGACAAATATTCTCTTGGCAAGATCCAGGGAGACCAGAGGGTTTGGCCCATAGTGAATCTGTGAGAGATATTTATTAAAATGCCCTATGAAGAAAAATGCAAGAGCTTTAGAAGCAAAAATGCAAACTAGAGAATCTTAGACTCAGTATTTGAGATATTACTTACTCTATCACATGCAAAAAAATGATTGGATACTCAGTAATATTATCAAATAGACAAAGGTCTTAAATTATCCTCTTGGATATATTAATGCAAAGATGGTGACCTGTTCCTAAAAATTGATTATAGTTGTTCAAGAATTCTTGAACTTAGGGACACCTGGCTTCCATGAAAGGGTGATGAAACAAGAAAATGTTAGATGCTGATCATGGAGCCATAGAAGTTATTGACATTCATCGAGGGTCAGGCTAGTTTAAGAGTGGTGAGCACTGCACTTGATGGCTACTGCCTATAGCCCATACAATCCCAATAAAAGTTTATAAATGAAATGGACATAAAAAAAGTATACAGGACTTTTAATATGAAATGGAAATACTTTTAAACTAAAAAGAGAACATAAAAGTCCATTCAATAAATACACTGGATAATAAAATAGATAATTTCCATTAACCATCTGGAGCAGGGATGCCTGGGTGGCTTTGTGGTTGAGCATCTGCCTTCAGTCCAGGGCCTGATTCTGGAGACTGGGAATCGAGTCCCGCGTAGGGCTCCCTGCATGGAGCCTGCTTCTCCCTCTGCCTGTGTCTCTGCCTCTCTCTCTCTCTCTCTCTCTCTCTCTCTCTCTGTGTGTGTGTGTGTGTGTGTCTCATGAATAAATACATAAAATCCTTAAAAAAAAGAATTCTTGAACTTAGAACAGTAGATTAAAAAAACTTCATAGGGAAAAGAAAGGGCTATTCTTTCCAGGAAAAAAAAAAAGAATCTGGAAGGAGAGGAAATCCTAGAGGTTAGAAATCTCTCAAAAAAGATTAAAAGGTGAATAATTTAAAATTTTCCTGAGGAAGAGAATAGTGAAGTTCCCAAATAAACTAATTTCCCTTTGCAAAATCTCTCTGATGAGCCCAAATTTAAAGTGACTCTGTATAGAAGATGGAACAAAAGAGAATATAACCAGATGACTATGGGAGGAAAAACCTGCCTTTATATGAAGACTATAGATGGTGGAAACTTACATGGCCTACATATGCTGGTTTGTCAAGGAAAAGTCTACAACATGCAGTTGTGATATATTGGGAGAAGGCATAAAGAAGCAGAGCTACCCTTAGGCTAGTTTTCCTTGTCAAGAAGACTGATCTTGGAAGGAAGAGGGACAGAGAAATATATCAAAAAGGTACATTTCCTAGGTATGTGAGGAGAGTTTAAGGAGTTCCCCAAACTAGTTAAAGTCTTCTGAATCCAGTGAACTTCCATCAAAAATACTCAGAAAATATATAAGACCACTAAACTATTATCTCAAACCATGATGAGAGGCTCCTGGCAAATATCATTTAGGTATTAAACAGGGAAGAAAAGTAGATTCTAAAAACCAATTTAAGCATACACTCGTACTGGGAAAGAGACCAAGAAAGTTTATCAAAACAAAGATATCAGTACCAGGGAACACTAACCAATAAGACCTTGGTGATGACTAGTTAACAAAGAACTGGTCAGTCAGAAAAATGTCATTTCTTTCTTTGATGTTTGATGAATGAGACTGAACATTTACTACCCATAAGACCCTTACAAACTTTGTCTTGTTAAGATTGTTATCAAAGTTTATTTACAAAGACAAATATCAGGCAGCCCGGGTGGCTCAGTGGTTTAGCGCCGCCTTCAGCCCAGGGCATGATCCCGGAGACCTGGGATCAAATCCCACATCAGGTTCCCTGCATGGAGCCTGCTTCTCCCTCTGCCTGTGTCTGTGCCTCTCTGTATCTCTCATGAATAAATAAATAAAAATCTTAAAAAAAAATCAAGTATCATTCTCAAAAACATTATGATAATCAGTGGGGCTGATATTTGAATCTTAGGCTATTGGACCCCAAAGCTCATGCTGTCTCCTAAGTGTTGCCACATTAAAACAAATTTCCATATGTATTTAACAACTGGGTGAAGTCAGACCTGGATCAACCAGCCACCTAACTGGAAGGAAGCTGCCTGTCACAGGGCTCTTTGCCCAGTGATTGAGGTGCAGATAAATAGGACACTCATCAGATCTGGAGATGATACTGAGTTTCAGCAAGGGAATGATGTTGCAAATCTAATTAAGCTCCCTCCCCAAATGTCCATAGTCTGGAGTAGTAGAGTGAACTTAATGAGATGACATGTAATGGTAGTAAAAATCAAGTTCAGTCTTTAGGTCCAAATAATAACTGTGCAAGGATGAAGGGGATATGTAAGATTTTATCAAAAGTACAAATTTAGCTTAAAATAAATTATTGTTATTTGATTATACGTATAAAGTTCCTTAAGTAATATTATCTGTGTAATCTGGGAAAAATAATTGAATTTTTTGGAACACCAAATTCCTTATCCCTTGAATACAAGTAATTTCTATATCACATGTTGTGGATAGAGAAGATAACATCTGTCCTGGTAGTGGCTAAAATAGGTTAAGATAGAACTGTTCAGACTCCCAGGTTAGTGCTCCTGGGACTCCACCAACATCAGGCTAATGCTGAGACAATGCAACATCACAAACTCTCCCAAGCACACTGTACAGATTTATGCCTGCTTGTATGTCCATAAATGCTTTCTAATTTTTTACATATTATTTACATTTATATAAATTACATGATATTTACACATAGCATTTGCTTTAAATCTGACATTCTCTGCATTTCTCCATTGCAAAGTAGCCATGGTCCAGGAAGCATTTGGAGCTAAAATGAAAGGCTTTATAATAAATATTACCCTTTGTGTGTGCATGGAAAATGGTCCCTTTTCCTAGTTTTCCCTAAGGGCACACTATTTTGGCTTTATTGTGACACTTCACTGTGACACTGCAATGAGGGAAAGCCATGCTTTACATGTCACTGAAAGAAATGCCACAAAATGCTAACATATCTTCTCAAGGTTGCCAGAAATAATTTCCACTGGGTTGTGTTTTCCCATCTGTGAAGCTCTGAAATGTTAAGGAAATAAATGAGCTCTATTATCTATATTTTTCTAGTAGATGAGAAAGAAAGAGAAAAAATACACTCAGCCCTGCATTTATTGTTCTATTCAATCAAACTGTTGCTTTAAACATCCTGAGTCCTCCAGGGAACTTTATCAATGCACCAAATACCTTTCAACACCATATTTCATATCTGTGGCTTTGATTTTATTAAAATATCTTTGAAAGATCTGTATTTTTACTTGAGAGAAAATTTTGATTATGTATTTGAGAATTGTTTCCATTTAGAAACTCAGATTCTAATTGGAAACAGTATTCCCTCTGATGACAACATATGGTGAAATTTTACTCAAAACAATGATTGAGAAACACAGCATTTAGATAACATTAATGATAGACCCCCAGTGTTGGAAGTATGTTTAGAAGTCTTTTTTTTTTTTTTTTTAGATTTCAAAAAAGAATACAACAAATTAGGGAACTATGAATCCCCAAAATCTATCAAATAAACACTGGGATCTACAGTTTTCCAGTTTATTTTCCACAGTAATAAATTCTCAATGCAAGTTACAAGAAGACATGTAACAAATTTAAAAATGCAGGTTTGGCAATATATATATATATATATATATATATATATATATATATATATATATTCTTAGTACACTCTCCCAAAAGAATAAAATAGAAAAAACAATGAAAACTATGAATCTCTGAGCCTAAGGAAACTATATGCTCCATTTCTGTGGAATATTCTTAGTGGGTATTAAAAACAGATATCTTTTAATTAAGAAGAATACCACAGGCTTATAGAAAGAAATAAAGAAGTATGAATTTGAATTAAGATGACTGGCAGAAAAAAACAAAGGTATAATGATTTAAAAAGAAAAAAAAACTTAAACTATTATTATTTCAGACATGATTTTATTTGAAGAAAATCCAAAAGATTCTACAGATAAAACATTAAAAGGAAGCAAATATAATTAAGTCATTAAAAATTATTTGAACTTCTGTAAACCATCAATAAAAAATTAGAAAAATATTTTTACAATAAACATTTATAATGCACAGAAATATAAATGCTTAGGAA